AAAATGCAAAAAATTTCACTTTTACTGGCGATATCATCGTTGTAATACATTTTACTGTTTTGAAACACTAATATTTGTGTTCAGCGAAGTCTCCCGAGTAGAACAGTACCCCCCATGTACAGGTTTTATGGTGTTTTGGAAAGTTATAGGGTTAAATATAGTGCTAGCAAATTAAATTCCCTTTACTTTCGGCATGGGTTGTCAGGCATGGCCCGCTAATTGTAATTAATTAAGATACCTAATTATGTAAAAATATTACATAAATATATATGTAGAATTAATATATGTATATATATACGTATATGAATCTAAATGTGTATATCTATATAATTTTTTTAAAATATTTTTATTTATATATAGGTATATATATAGTGATATATACGTATATATTTATGTAGATATATATATATTATTTCGTTCTATGTGTATTTTGATATAAATATATATATATTAATATCACAATACAGTTAGAACGAAATAACACACATCTATATATTTTTTAATTAATTTTTATTTTATTTTATTTTTTAACGTATTTACATATTTAATTTTTTATATTATATATAAATATATATATATAACAATAATTATTATTATTTATATATTTATCTTATAATAAATAAATAATTATAATATATTTAATCAGTATCAGTCTACGTGTAATTTTATATTAATATATATATAATTATATATATATTAATAGTAAAATACACCTAGACAGTGTGTGTGTGTATGCATATACACACACACTCCTATATACTTAGGAGAAGGATCTACCGCGGGGGGGCTCCCTGGGAGTCCCCCCACCGTGATCGCCGGCATGGGACCGCCCGCGACCGGGTAAGTAAACAAAAACCGGAGGGCGTACTATTACGCCCGGCGGCGTTTAGAGCCGCCTAAAATAGGGCGTAATTGTACGTCCTCCGGTCTAAAGCTGTTAAATATAGTCTCCTCCTTTACTGGGTTAATTCCCTTTTTATGTATTTAAATGTTTCTATCATATCCCCCCCGTCTCGTCTTTCCTCCAAGCTATACATGTTAAAATCCTTTAACATTTCCTTGTTGGTTTGTAACAACATGTGTGTGTATCAGAGATCCATTTATAATAAAACAGAGGAACATCTTACTTACAGAGCATGACAGATCAGCTAGATGGGAACATGGTACTTGGGCCAAAATAATTTATTAGTTTGCTGAAGGAAGCAATGCAAATAGGGAACAGGATACATGCTGTCTTCAGAACAGAGATTTATTCACTTATAAAATACAGGGAGTGCAGAATTATTAGGCAAATGAGTATTTTGACCACATCATCCTCTTTATGCATGTTGTCTTACTCCAAGCTGTATAGGCTCGAAAGCCTACTACCAATTAAGCATATTAGGTGATGTGCATCTCTGTAATGAGAAGGGGTGTGGTCTAATGACATCAACACCCTATATCAGGTGTGCATAATTATTAGGCAACTTCCTTTCCTTTGGCAAAATGGGTCAAAAGAAGGACTTGACAGGCTCAGAAAAGTCAAAAATAGTGAGATATCTTGCAGAGGGATGCAGCACTCTTAAAATTGCAAAGCTTCTGAAGCGTGATCATCGAACAATCAAGTGTTTCATTCAAAATAGTCAACAGGGTCGCAAGAAGCGTGTGGAAAAACCAAGGCGCAAAATAACTGCCCATGAACTGAGAAAAGTCAAGCGTGCAGCTGCCACGATGCCACTTGCCACCAGTTTGGCCATATTTCAGAGCTGCAACATCACTGGAGTGCCCAAAAGCACAAGGTGTGCAATACTCAGAGACATGGCCAAGGTAAGAAAGGCTGAAAGACGACCACCACTGAACAAGACACACAAGCTGAAACGTCAAGACTGGGCCAAGAAATATCTCAAGACTGATTTTTCTAAGGTTTTATGGACTGATGAAATGAGAGTGAGTCTTGATGGGCCAGATGGATGGGCCCGTGGCTGGATTGGTAAAGGGCAGAGAGCTCCAGTCCGACTCAGGCGCCAGCAAGGTGGAGGTGGAGTACTGGTTTGGGCTGGTATCATCAAAGATGAGCTTGTGGGGCCTTTTCGGGTTGAGGATGGAGTCAAGCTCAACTCCCAGTCCTACTGCCAGTTCCTGGAAGACACCTTCTTCAAGCAGTGGTACAGGAAGAAGTCTGCATCCTTCAAGAAAAACATGATTTTCATGCAGGACAATGCTCCATCACACGCGTCCAAGTACTCCACAGCGTGGCTGGCAAGAAAGGGTATAAAAGAAGAAAATCTAATGACATGGCCTCCTTGTTCACCTGATCTGAACCCCATTGAGAACCTGTGGTCCATCATCAAATGTGAGATTTACAAGGAGGGAAAACAGTACACCTCTCTGAACAGTGTCTAGGAGGCTGTGGTTGCTGCTGCACGCAATGTTGATGGTGAACAGATCAAAACACTGACAGAATCCATGGATGGCAGGCTTTTGAGTGTCCTTGCAAAGAAAGGTGGCTATATTGGTCACTGATTTGTTTTTGTTTTGTTTTGAATGTCAGAAATGTATATTTGTGAATGTTGAGATGTTATATTGGTTTCACTGGTAATAATAAATAATTGAAATGGGTATATATTTGTTTTTGTTAAGTTGCCTAATAATTATGCACAGTAATAGTCACCTGCACACACAGATATCCCCCTAACATAGCTAAAACTAAAAACAAACTAAAAACTACTTCCAAAAATATTCAGCTTTGATATTAATGAGTTTTTTGGGTTCATTGAGAACATGGTTGTTGTTCAATAATAAAATTAATCCTCAAAAATACAACTTGCCTAATAATTCTGCACTCCCTGTATATTTATTACTAATGTACAATGTACTAATATTCTGATATATGAAATTATGAAATGCAGATGATATCCATTTAGTGTAAAAGATATTGGGGGGAGTTTGGTTAATTGCCCCCCTCCAGTGTGAGCTGCTGTGTTCCCTGAGTATTCTACAGACAGCAGTTACATTGTAATGTCCGTATCCCTTTAGTGTAAAAGATATTGGGGGGGGGGGTTAATTGCCCCCCTCCAGTGTGAGCTACTGTGTTCCCCGAGTATTCTACAGACAGCAGTTACATTGTAATGTCCGTATCCCTTTAGTGTAAAAGATATTGGGGGGTTTGGTTAATTGTCCCCCTCCAGTGTGAGCTGCTGTGTTCCCTGAGTATTCTACAGACAGCAGTTACATTGTAATGTCCGTATGCCTTTAGTGTAAAAGATATTGGGGGGAGTTTGGTTAATTGCCCCCCCCAGTGTGAGCTGCTGTGTTCCCTGAGTATTCTACAGACAGCAGTTACATTGTAATGTCCGTATTCCTTTAGTGTAAAAGATATTGGGGGGTTTGGTTAATTGCCCCCCCAGTGTGACCTGCTGTGTTACCTGAGTATTCTACAGACAGCAGTTACATTGTAATGTCCGTATCCCTTTAGTGTAAAAGATATTGGGGGGTTTGGTTAATTGCCCCCCCCCCCAGTGTGAGCTGCTGTGTTCCCGGAGTATTCTACAGACAGCAGTTACATTGTAATGTCCGTATCCTTTAGTGTAAAATGTATTGGGGGTTTGGTTAATTGCCCCCAGTGTGAGAACTGCTGTGTTCCTGAGTATTCTACAGGCAAGCAGTTACATTGTAATGTCCATTATCCCTTTAGTGTAAAAGATATTGGGGGTTGGTTGAATTGCCCTTCCGAGTGCTTAATTTTGCTGTGTTCTATGAGTATTCTACAGACGGCAGGTTCCAAAATTGTAATGTCTGTATCCCTTTAGTGTATAAGAATATATTTGGGGGGGATGGTTAATTGCCCCAGTGAAATGTAACTACTGTGTTCCCGAGTATTCCACAGACAGCGTTCTGACTATGTCCGTGTCACTTTAGTGTAAAAGATGTGGGGGATGGTTAATTGCCTCGGTGTGAGCTGCTGTGTTTCCCAGTATTCTACAGACCTTAGTTACATTTGTAATGTCCGTATCCCTTTAGTGCTAAAAGATATTGCTGGGGAGGGGTTGGTTCAAGGTACTTCCCCCCTCAATTAATGTGAGCTGCTGTGTTCCCCGAGTATTCCACAGACAGCAGTTACATTGTAATGTCCGTATCCCTTTAGTGTAAAAGATATTTGGGGGGTTTGGTTAATTGCCCCCCTCCAGTGTGAGCTGCTGTGTTCCCTGAGTATTCTACAGACAGCAGTTACATTGTAATGTCCGTATCCCTTTAGTGTAAAAGATATTGGGGGTTGGTTAATTGCCCCCTCCAGTGTGAGCTGCTGTGTTCCCCGTGTATTCTACAGACAGCAGTTACATTGTAATGTCCGTATCCCTTTAGTGTAAAAGATATTGGGGGGGTTTGGTTAATTGCCCCCTCCAGTGTGAGCTGCTGTGTTCCCTGAGTATTCTACAGACAGCAGTTACATTGTAATGTCTGTATCCCTTTAGTGTAAAAGATATTGGGGGGGTTTGGTTAATTGCCCCCTCCAGTGTGAGCTGCTGTGTTCCCTGAGTATTCTACAGACAGCAGTTACATTGTAATGTCCGTATCCCTTTAGTGTAAAAGATATTGGGGGTGGTTAATTGCCCCCCCAGTGTGAGCTGCTTTGTTAAAGTAGCAAAAACATGAAGAATAGATAACAGAGATTTTTTTCCAATTTTCCCTTGAATTTGAAATGTAGTTTGAGTTCTCCATTTAAATAATAAACCTGTAAAAGGAATCACAGCTCTGCAATGTGTATTAATAAACACTAAAAACATATTAAATGGTAAGCGTCCCTTCCTCCTTTCGTCTCATTTGTAATCCTTTTTGGCATTTATTAGTAAATATCAAAATCACTGTCTGAATTAAACAAATTTGAATTTATTTGATTTGTACTTATCAGGTAATTTATAATAATAAATCTATAATGTTTCTAGAGGCCACTGTTAACCCTTGAGATCCTGCATGTTGCTAAATTCAGAACTCTGTTTGTTCTGCGCTTGGGCCCATGTGAGAGATATCACACATGTAGCCAAGGTCATTCGGCCACTGATTACAACATATGGCTTGCAGGAAGCGCTTACAGAATTATTCTCTCAAACTTCATTCCTAAAACTTAAGCCAAAACAGGAGAGTTGGAACCAAGAACGTCTCTATTTACTACTATGATCTACACTAAGGGTGGGTAGAACATATATCAGCATTCTGAGCATTCTATTTGACTAGATTGTAAGCTCCTTGACACAGGGATTCCTGTTTTCCATTTTTTTTGAAATCCATTTAATATCCACACAGGAACTTAGTGCATTCAGTTACATAACATTTCCCCAGACTGGAAACTGGGGTATAAATGTATAAAAACACAAGTGCCAGCCCGCAGAAAGTCCATTTATGCAAATTGTGAAAGACCACATGTAATTGAACATGGGACTGGGACTGGGCAGCAATAAGGACTGAGCAATAAGGATTGTTAGTAGGGGGTCTGGGAATTAACTTATTTTTTTGAAGTTGTGAGTGGGTGACTTATATTTACGAACTTGAAATGAAGTTAGAACCAGATAATTTCTCAAGGAAAAATTAGTCTAAGATCACCGTGCAGTCAGTTCGGTCATGTCTCGGTAATTAATCATATTATTACCCTAAATGGTGAGTGAAGTGACTCTAAGGCTAGAACTTAACTTCTTGGGGGAGTGTTGATGTGCCATTACATTGTTTCAGATATAAATAATAATCAAATGATGGGTGTTTCTTTGATGGTCCATCCCTAAAGGGACACTGCTAGATGAAGCAGTTTTGGTGTATAAATCATGCCCCCGCTGTGGCGGAACCAACCTCGCCACTGGCCACTAGAGGAGCCTGGTCGCCCGCCTCCTGCCACTGGACTATGCCCCCATGTTTAACACTGTTCTTTTTCCCCGCAGAAAGGCTGGTTTGTGCCTTTCTGCGGACTGTTAAAGTCACGAACACCGCTGAGCCGCCTACCACCTTTCTCCTACCTGCAGTCAGTTATCCGAACACCAGTCCATTTGGTACTTTACTGTTTAAACCATGCTACCCCAGATAGCTATGCCATGAAACCCAGCCGTATACTGAAAGACTGTATGAAAGACTTTGGCTCCATGGCGATTGAACTGTATGTATGTGATCTGAGCACCATCCGGTAGTAATGGGCGCTCAGATCTAAGCTATCTGGGGATAGGTAGAATGTGTATGTTCTATGTGATAAATGTAACAGTATGTATTTTTATGTCTTTTATTGTCCTTTGTCTGCCATGTGGTTAATGGAGTTTTGCCTCTGTCCTTGGAGATAATTGGATTACTTCCCAATTATCTCAAGGACAGAGAGGAGGGATTGTGATGCATTGTGGGATTGTAAGCTTGTGATTGGTCAATGTCCAATATGTTTCTCAGTCTTCCATCTGGTCCCCTAGGGGAGTGTCCACCAGGTGGGAGGCCTGCATAAAAGCCAGGCAGGTAGCCCCAGTAAATCAGTTCTGCTTGACCCTCAAACGAAGTGTTGTCTCGTTCTTGGGGGGAATTGGATTGTATGCTGTTACAGTGCGACTGCCAGGAGTGTAAGCTGTTCGTATGGTTTTTCCTGTTCGGCTGTTTAACAGCATTCGTGTGTTGGTGAATTCGTGTGTTTCCGGTTCGGGAGTTGATGTATTCGTGTGTTTCCTGTTCGGGAGCTTGAGTATTCATGTGTTTGCAATTCGGGAGATTGGTGCTTGCAGCAGCTGTTCGTGTATTTAAAAGGGGAATCTCGCCTAAACTATTTTAACATCTTGTGTGTAAAACGGTCCGTTACATCCGTAAGTCTCATTTCTCCATTCTCTGCTATTTAGTAGTTAAATCACTATATTTATGCAACTGTGGTCACGCCTTCCGTGGCTGTTACTCACACAGACTGCATGCAGGGAGAAAGCACCATAAGGTAGCACAGGCGGTGACAGTAGGGCACCATGGCAGGGGGTGCAAAAATCTGAATCATGGGCCCTAGGCATGGGACTCAAATTTAAAAACATCTTCTCAGCTGCAGTCAGTGCATAGACACTGTAACTATTAATCCAGTACTCTGTATTCAGACTAGAAGCAGGGGTCTCCAGACCACCAGGGATTCATTATTACCCTAACTAGAACCCCAGCGAATTTAGCCCTCTCCCTACTAATGGGTAATCAGAAGTAGGGGATAAAACATTTTTTTGTTATCTAAATTTAACACCCACCACACACTGCAAACACATGCACATTCAATACACGTCACACGGTCCAAACACAGCCATCACATTATTTTGAGGTTTATTACTTTATTTGAGCTCTGTGATAGTGTTATACAAAATGCACATTACTTTTTCTGCGGTGGAGCTCAGTAATAACCTTTTATGGACATTACTGAGAGTTTTGTTGTGGGGGAGCTCTGTGATCCACTCAAGCACATTACACATTCATGTGGGTTTAATTCTTTGCTGTGGAGCTCTGTTATACAGGCACATCACACAATACTGTGACTTTTAATAACCAGGAGATCGAGGTAAATGAGGAAACAGTCCAGAGTAATGCAGCTCAGAGTATTGTATGGCATGGATGAGAATCAAGAGACTCGAAAGTAATAATCTTTGTGTTTGTATGTGGGGCCCTCTGTATAAATGAAGAAAGTAATGGGGCGGGAAAATACACATTTTGGCATGGGTACCTAAAAAGCCTTGCATCAAGCCTACCTGCATGTGACTTTCACAGTCTCCCTACAAAATTCCTGTAACGAGAGACCTAATGTTTACACTTCCTTTATTTCTTATCGCGCACTCAGTTAATAGCCTTCTAGAACTTGCAGGAGCCTCCTGTATGATTAAACTTCAATCAACAGAGCAGGAGACAAATACTTTTAAAGTAAACACACTGCGGTTGTATTATCTGATTGAAAGTTATTTTTTATTTTTTAACTGCAGGCTGTTTGAATCACAGCCAGGGGAGGTGTGACTAGGGCTGCATAAACAGAAACAAAAGTAATCTAACTCCTAAATGGTACACTAAGACTGCTTCATTAAGCGTAAGTTGTTTTGGCATTCACAATATTCATTTACATGTTTCTATAAGTCATTCTATGTTACGGATATCACCAACATTAGACTGTCTGTTGGGAATGGTCATGGCCGGGACAATATACCATGATTGTCCTCCGTATCAATCAATAGACATTGATGGCACTTAGAATTCTTATGCAAAACTTGAGCTGAAATGGTTTCCTCTTTTCAAAATAAGTTCCACATTTCTTTAGCCATGAAAAGGCCCGAGCCTCAGGGGTCCAAGATAAAGAAGGGAAACTGGGCTAGTAACAAATCTATCAGTCACTGTACTGTGTGAAACAATGAGCCTGCTTGGGGAACAATGAGACGTAAATGATAAAGGAAGCATGTTCGGAAAGCAAACCCTTCCAGTGCCAGGGGGGTGAGAAACCTAGTCACACTCATCATGTTACTGTACCAGCGTGGGAACACCTGCAATAATTACAGCATTGGACACAGACTGGGAATATTAGCTACAAGAAGGTAGCTGCAAAATGTGTTAAACATATGGAGCGACCAGAAAAAAAGGAACTATGTGCTCTAGTCTTGGTTATAAGAACCAGCACAAAAAAAAAAAGGAGAAACCGGGTGCTAAACGAATGCTGAAATATATTCCTGCAGGGGCCCACGCTTGCATCCCACACTGTGAGATGATGATAAAGCGTAGTGATTGTCCTTATGGAGAAATGTCGTTACAGAGCTTCCCCAGATTAAGAGGAACTCACTCAGCAGCAGAAATAACGGAGTTCAAATCTTAAAATTGTAATAATACAACCCAAAATTAGCAAATCCTTGTTCTCCACACTGAGTATAACCCCAATTCAGCAGGTTGCTTTGTAATACATTTTGCAGTTTTGCTTTTTTTTTAAAGGCAATGCTTCTAAGTTTGTCAGTAAATTCGGTGTAAAACAAAATTAATGCAGTCTTGGGGGCAGAGCCTGACCATCATCCTGCACGGACGCCATTCTCAACGGCTTGGGGGAAAACTTGGGGCCTACCACATGCTGCAGCTCCAAAGGCTGGAGGCACTGCTAGGCGGCACGGAGAGACCGGGAGGCAAGCCAACCCCAACAACGGCTGTAACAGCCCTGACGCCAGCGATGAGCCGCCGCTTGCAGAATCCGCAAGCCGCGGCGGAAGGTAGAGACATCAGCACCATGCTACAGAGGCCCGGGCCGTCTAAACCGGCTCCACCGGCTACTCCCACCTACCTTCCTGGACAAACAAGAACGGAGGACCCACTGGACACGCCAGAAGCTCCAACACCACAGCCTCCTCCGATCAGACACCAACCACCAGGTATGACCTGAAAGTGTTACTGTCAGACTTTCATAAAATACTGACTGCAGAACTAGCGCCCATAAAAATGGACATGAAAACAATCACTGACAGGGTGCAGGCTACACAACAGGACATAACCCTCATACAAACCCAAAACTCCACGCTCCAAGGCTCAGTACAACAGGTCTGGTCCCAGCACAGGACCATGTCCGCACAGCTGACAGCTATGAAAGAACGCCAATGGCGCACAAACATTAAAATCAGGGGGTCCCCGCGGAAATCACGGAAGAACTTCCACACTATGCCAGACGCCTACTAGCATCCATCCTGCCCCAGACAACAACGAAGAAACTGCCAATTGAGGGGATTTACCGTCTGCCTGGCTCCGTAAAGGCGCCTCCAAAGGCAAACCGAGATGTCATACTCAGGTGCTTAACAGTCCATGACAAAATTCAGATAATGTCGGCACTAAAAAACAGTACACCCCTGGCCTTTGAGGAAGTCTCACTCACGTTCTACCAGGACCTGACCAAAGCCACTCTCCTCTGGCGCAAAACCTTTAGCCCCATCACGACCAGCATGAGAACGGCAGGCATTGCCTACAGGTGGGGAAAAAACGGATCCCTAACAGCGAACTGCAACGGTACCTCACACGCTCGCATCCTAACAGCCAAACCACCAGCTGAGCCTGCCGCGGGAACATGGGACCCCAAGCATGTTGTACCCTTTGTCCCGAGGAACAGATCATCCCCGACCACGGAATATCGGCAAAGTCACCACATGACCCCTCCACCCAGGCACTGTCTTGGAGAACCAAAAACTAAAATTTTTTAAAAAGCGTTCATTAAACTTTGTTTGACCTACAGTTTGGTAAAGGCTCAGCTGTGTAATTTGTACCACTGTTGCTCGACAACACTCTCAGCACAGCTCCACAACATCAGCCACTTGTCAGAGAAACTCACATAACACACACATACGATAGCACTGAGTGGCACTTCACCTCACACAGGAGCATTGTAATGTTTTGTTCTTGATAATGCTTGCCACCGCTATTGTGGCATGACGGGCACAATTGTCATAAATTGCACAAAAAATAAAGAATTAAAAAAAAAAAAATGCAGTCTTATGGTGTTACCCTTCAACTTTTCTTCTCTCGCTTATTTTCAATTTCCCTCATCCTCCTCGTATTTCTTTCTCTTTCTGAATTATTTATAAAATTGAGAATTCACATTTAAGGCCAGTCTAGCCAAACTGAAAGCAGAGCCGACAGAGAATTTTTTATTTTTTTTTCAGTACGGCAATTTTCACCTTAAATTTGAAATTCTCTTTGAATTCACCTCTCCCTTTAGTGACTAACCCTGTTTAACCCTCCATTGACTGTTTTACTCTCACATCAGAAAGCTGTTCTACTATTATACCAGTGGTTTAAGTTGGTGAAACCGAACTCTGACTCTGCAATTACTTCCTTTTTTCCTACAGCAAGTTGTTGTATTTGTGTTACACGGCAGTGATATTTACACTACAGATTAATATATATTTCTGTTAAACTTTAAATTGCAAAAAAAAAATAAAAAATGAATCCAATTAGTTTCCTTATTTCCTTCCTCTGTACTGGTGTTGAGATTCATTTTTCATTGTATTCGAATATATAAATAAGCTGCCAAGTGAAAAGCCTTTGCTTCCTATGGGGACCTGCTATGGTTAAAGCCGCAGCTTTGTGCCAAATTCCAACTAAAACCTTGATGCCCATTTTCTCTATTTGTCTGTAAATATTGACACAAGACTAGGAGCATTAATTGCCAAGGAGAGACCGGCCCAGGTACCTCAGCCTTGAGAGCTGCAGAGAGTCATGTAATTAAAAAAGGATTTTCTCAGGCACATCACTTACTCTAAAAGCTCATTTCTGATCAACCTCTACTCTCACCATCTTGTGAAACCTGCTCACATTGTTAGAAATTAAATCTCTACCTTCAGTTTATACTATTAAAATACATTAACTGTTACAGTACACATCTAAATAATGTTTTCCCCTCTCAAGAAAAACCTGTTTTCTGCAACAGTTACAAACATGGCAAGGCAACAAACCGAGAGAGTAACCAGGAAGGCACCCCTTCCTTTCCAGCTCAGATAATAGACGAGGGTGAGTATTGCTTTAGTTATGTTACCATCGCCCAGACAGACTAGAAAATCCCTCCCCTAACGTTAGCCTTATCAGCAAGCAGCACATAACTGGGTTAAGGTTGGCCACTTATTTACTGTGTGTGAAAACGTGTGGCTCCATAAGTGCAGCATTTTAACATTGTACAGAAAACTTGAACACACATGTGGAGCCCAATAATAGCATGTACAGAGCAGATCCCATTGTACAGCGCTACAGAATCTGATGGCGCTATATAAATAATAATTTACTATATATAATAAAACCACAATAAGAAACATTTAGTGACTTTTTAAGGTGTAATTACAGATAAACGGATTCACTGTTAGAAACCAAACCCATGGTGCAGATTTCCAGTGCATTAAAATACATTATTTTAGAACATTTTGTGCCTCTTATAATCTTTTCACCAATAGATGTACATTTAATTGAAAAAGAAATAGGAACAAAGATACAAAAATTCTTTAAAAAAAACGTTTTTCTATACAGGTTTACTGATAATGAATTCATCTATTTAAAGGGAAAGTCCAGGCACCTAAAGTGAAAAAAGGGCATTTTACAGAGAATTAAAGGGAAAAAAACAGATGTTCATTATCATCATTAAAAGTTCTCTTAACACTTGGAATGAAAGAGATGTACAGCAGCAGCAGCAGCGTTACATGTGGAAGAGAGAAATCCAGAATTTCATTCCTTCTTAAATAACATGAATGAAGCCAATCGTTACGGCCATGTTTTGGGGGAATTAAAATGGAGACCAGGTCCGCTGCACTATGAACAAGTTACAAAAGAAATCAAGAGCTAAACTACTGATTTCATAAAAACCTGAGGTTTTGTACAAAGCTCCCACTAAAAGCAACTGGATTGGAGATCTCCACGTCATTCTCTGGTCTCTGATGGCCCTGAAGGAGGACAGGAAGTATCTTTTCTGTTTTTAGAAAGGATTCGTTGCAGGCAAGTCTTAGATGCTTTGTCCAGCCGAGGCGGTCCTTCTAACAACTGTGTGAGTGATCACTGCCTGCCAGCCTTGCCAGTCTCCACTGTGTCCGAACTGTCAAAAGAAAAATTATATATGTAAGAAATAAAATATTGCAGAAGATACAGACACATTCTTTACATACCCAGCACTGGGCTTCACACTGGTCTGCCTAAAATGTCATATTCCCCTTCCATACATCTGCTGACCGACATCTCCCATCCGACTGGCGCTGCTGTGATGCAGTACCTAGAGCCACTAACTGGCCTTTATTTATTTCCCTATAGGGAAGTATTTAGGGGGCTACTGCGCATGGCAATCAACATATCCATGCAGAGTGCAATAGGAAGCACATCTAGGGTCGGTCTGACAGTTGGATTGAGTGACGGTGGAGTCCCTAGCAGGTAATATAAACACATCTCTCACCCGTTCTCCTCTTTGAGGTGCTGGTATAAATCGGCCTTGTTATTGATGGAATTAAGGCGACCAATAAACTCTTGATGCTTCCTGGAATTTGCAGCATGGATTCTCGTGGTCCACAGCGCCAGCAGAGACATGGGTCCTAGGCCAACAAGAAAGTTAGTGGTCACCAAAGCTACAAGTCCACGTGAAGCATGCATTGCACAAAATACTTTTCAGTTTCCATTCTATTTGCTCACTTTCTCCATCACAAAGACACAGAACATGACTTTTACCTGGCAGCCCTTAAAACACGAATAGACAAGCATTTAAGTGGATGTTGGGGTATGATTATATTAAAACAGAAATAAGTTTTGAAAGTTTAACTTCCACTAATGAAGCAATCGACAAGAACCACTGGATGTTAATGCACAATGCTACACTTTTAGCAAATTTCCTTAACTGCTCTTTCTACATCAGCCTGTAAATAAAAGGGTCTTATAGGGTCCCCAGGGGTGGGGGAGGTTTATGGAACAGATTGTCTCTTTTCCAATCTACTCATCACTTACCCTTGGACTTTTCAACTGGGGTCACATCATCCACCGAATTGCGTGGCTTTTTGTTAGGGGGTTCAGGGGAATCAGGAGAATCCTTTATTACTTCTGCCTCGGTCAGATCCTCTTTATCGCGTTCTATTGATTTCAACCTAAACAATGAATTTGGTAATTGGGTAAAACCGTTTTGCTAAATACAGATATAAAGAACAGAGAGCAAGACGTGAATCAAAATGGAAAAATGTACTAAAAATTTTCAATTCTGTAAAGACAAAGGGGGTAATTTCACCAATGCCAAAACCTTACACATCTTATTGGACTAAAATATATCCAGTCCACTTGCAGAGAATTGTGCCACTCATTTATTAAAACTGAATGCTGTTTGTTCCATTGGTGGGCACTGTCAATATCTTAGGAAATCGATAGGGACGAACCTGCTACTTGAGAAAAGCTCAATATGTCTAAAACATTGGCATTTCCTTTTTGACTTTACATTTACCCCTTTTGTTTTTTCTAAGAGCTGGTGTCTCTCTGGGCTAACAATTCGCTATCTTACTGAAAGCTTTAGAGAAAATAACAATAACATGTTTGGATACATTACTTACAAAAGTAAACTATTCTGAGACTTGATTAACTCTAGCGACATCAGATATTTGAATTACAAGTGGTAAATTACGGAGTAAAAAAAACAAACACATTTGGAATTCCAGGTCCGTGATAGTCTCCCCTTCCCACACCCCAGCAGAATTCCTGAAGTGATCAGACTGTTAACGAGTGCAATGGAGGGGAATATAAATCTCTACAGTAAGTGGGCCACATGATTGCCCCATAATGCTCCATGTCAGACACGCACCCTTATAACATCTGCTAGGAAAATGCCACACAAATTAACATGTGCTTAGGCATTCCCTCCATCGCATCATACATGCAGCAGCCCCACGAAGTTAGTGTGCATGGCATGATGGAAGTCACAGTAATTTACATTGTATGCTCTGGTTGTGACTGCTTGTTTTAGATCAATTCATTCAGTTGTGCAGAAATTAGACAAGCGATGGTTGAACAGAGCCGTCAATCTGCCCTGGCAGTGTGCTTGGTACGATTGCACATGGAATAGAGTGTAACCCTGAAGAGATGGTTGTTCTGGAGCTGTGTATCAATCAGTATGTAGGAGGAGCGCACCTTTCAGATTCCTGACTTTTCTTGTCATGGTCGTGGTCCTTGGTGACTTTCTCGGATTTGTCCTCTTTGTCTTCTCTTTTGCGGCCCCGTTTTTTGCGTTCCTCTTCCTCGGGAGGTTTGCTCCTGCAGGCTAGGAGGCAGTCTAACACCCGCTGGTGCTTGTCAGAGGCGCTGACATGGGCACGGACCAGCATCTCCAGTTCGTTCCACATTATGCGGTATTGCTCATCCCTAGGACAGTAAATGCATTAGAAATGGATTTTCAATCAAAGAACCCTTTACAGAAAACATCTAGTTATGGCAAAAACAGATACTGCAAGAATTGCATGCTTCCAGACAATGCGTCTCCCGCCCCAAATCCTACTTTCTCCTCATTTATATTGGTCAGATTTTGGGGTGTATGTCAGGGTTCTCCACCTTTTGGGGCCTTTGCCTCTGGTACCGGCTGTAGAAATGGGTAACGGGTCATTTTTTCTCTCCATATCCACCAAATTATAAATCGTTTTCTGGCAGTTCACCACGTCGTCTTCGGTTAGAGATTCCTTTACAATAACGTTGGCCAGGGGGACAACCTGTGTGGAATGGACAATAGATATAGACATGCAAAAGCATGTACATGTATATAGACAGAATACAACTGCTAATGGTTTAGAAACCTCACATGAAAAGAATAAAAGCCGATAAGGTGGAAACAGGGGTCTGATTTCTACAACAGTAAATTGATTGAACCTCAATTAAATTTAAAAACCGAACTTTATTTAAAACTAGGTGCCCTGTACAGAAAAAAATCCTGCCTAAGCCCTACAGTAAAGGAAAAGATTGTACAGCAAATGCTGATGCCGGTCATTGAATATGGGGATGTAGTGTATGCACCTGTGCTGCACGCCCACCTTTATAAACTTATTACACTGTATAACTCATTCTCCCTCTCTATACCACAATGTAATTGCCACCATTGTGACATGCTAAAAGAGCTAAACTGGCTGTCGCTAGAATCCAGACGCACCCTTCATCTTTCCAGCCTTGTGTTTAAGAGCTTTTCTGGGAAGCTCCCTCCCTACCTGAGCAGAATGCTCTCATCGGCTGTTCCCACCTCTTATAACCTCCGATCCAGTACTAGCACTTTATATAGTCTACCTCAATACAAAAAGAAAGCGGCTCGATCCTCATTTTCCTACAGAGCACCGCAATTATGGAAAAACCTCACGGACACCATCAAATCCTCTCCCAGTCTAAAATCCTTTAAGAGTTCTCTGTCATTATACCTCTATACAGAATGCACCTGTAACCACGGTTGATAATATTTCTCACCTGTACGTGTTCTGTGTTAAACTTGTGTTAACCTTTTTTTTTTTTTTTTAGTCCCCGCTTGTTACCTTGCCAGGAAGGGGGATATGGCATTCCCTGGTGGTCCGGTGGCATGGACTGTGCAAGCTCGCTCTTACCTTCCTAGCAGTTCTCAGCAGCTCCCCTGTCTAACTCCCGCGGCCTGTGTGCCGCATAGAGCATTGCCATGGTAGCCCTTGACAACACTCTGACGGCCGCGGGATTCGCGAGATTTACACAAGGGAGCTGCAGGGAAGGTAAGTAAGAGCTTGCTGCAGGCCCTCCAGGCTTGTTATGAGCCCGGCGATCTTGGTCTGTATTAGCAGCAATATCGGTATCTCTATTTGCCGATACCGTTATTGACGAAAAAAACAAATATCATCCGATAATATCGGCCAGACCGATAATCGGTCGATCCCTAGAGTGTACACATACATCTGTGTATGTGCATCTGTGTGTCAAGGGGTGTGTTTTTATGTCATGGTGTGGGCATGCATCAATGTTTGTGTGTGTCAGAGTGCATGTGTATCTATATGTGTGTATGTGTCGGTGTCTATATGAATTTGTGTGTATGTGTCGGTGTATTTATATGCATCTGTGTGTTGATGAGCATGAATATCTGTGTAGATATGCATGTTGTAGTGTATGTGCATACATCCAAGCAGTCAAACATCACCACAACATACAAGCACACTCCTGCAATCTACCACAAATATTACATACACACATCCCTGCATGCAAACTATTAAAAACATTTACAAACACAGCTCTTCACTCAAACACAAATACTTCACACAAATGTACATCCGCATTTAAAAGTGAACATTACATTCAGATACAGCCCTGCAATCAAACATTACATACAAACACACCCCTGTGTTTAGACACAATAAATGTATACAAGCACCCCTTTAAACACCAACACTGTACATTACACTATAGCGCCAGTAAATGCTGCAGCGCTGTACAGATACAACTTAGAAATTTTGACTTGAGGTGCCTTGGAAAAATACTGAAATATCAAGGGCACCTTGAATCTAAAAATTTGGGAACCACTGGTCTAGACTATTTACCAGTTAAGAAATTTGTGATGTATGATATACAGGCGATTCTACATCAAGGTGTGTGTACATGGGTCGAGTGGCAAAGAATTATGGAAAATTTTGTCCAAGCAATTTCGAGCTATGGGTTGAACACCCCTGGACTATAGCTTGTTAACCATATATAGCACTGTCTGGTAATAACTGGCTTCTGCAGCAGTACTGATCAGAACACTATCACCTGCGAAATGGGATAACCCAAATCAGATTTTAGACATTGCGTAAAAACATCACAGGAGGACGCCAATACTCACAGCCTGCATATTGAAGATAGTCGTCTGTGAGATAATCATCGGCCAATACCGAGTGTATCTTTCCAGCTGTTCTTTGGCTCTTTCCAGAGGAACGTCCAACGTCCCATCCATCTGGTAGCGGGACTCTGATACCGGCATCAGTCTGTTTTCCTTCATAAACTCCCCAAAGTCCTAACAAACACAGAGCAGGGTATACACAGAATTAAGCCTGTGTCTCTCCAATTATTACACACTACACACATTGTAAAACAGATTGTCTGAGGGGGCATGAAACGGCTGAGAGAGAGAGGAGCTCACAATGATGCCATGTGTCAGTCAGACAGCACAGCAATTTACCGTAATCCTGTAGTCAGTCACTCGTCCCCCGCAGCCTTCGCTGATTGATGGCGGGTCCTCTAATATAGAGCGAGAGCTGCACAGCACGTGTAAGAAAATTTCACCACCGTGGCTGCTTAACATGTGGCTAATTACTTTCGATCCAGACTTCCGTGGCTGCTCCAGCAACACTGACCGACCTGAGAATTGAAAATGAAAAATAAGAATAACATGAAAATAAGAAACCACGTGGTACAATAGGCCAGCTAATGTTTAAATCTAATAACATATGCCTATATCCAATACCCTTCATTGAAAAGAAATTTATATTGAGTTATGCACTGTAAACAGGGGCTAAGAGCAATATGAGGGGACACACAATCAGCTGGTCCGGACAGTGATTTCAACATTAGTGACATGTGATGAAGACAAATACGGTAGTAGAAACTGGTAATGGAACCAATTAGAAACGTACTGAGTAAGATGGAGAGCTTGTATAAAGAATACAATTATACAAGATTTAAATTTTTTAATCCTTTATCTCTCGCACCAATACATCATAAGAATACATAGGAAAACATGACAAAAATTGTGCTGATATCATCAAAAATAGGGGCAGGGTTTTTAGAAATTATAAAATGAGTTGCGCTAAGGGACCATCGCCTGCTAGCAGTAAGTATATCAAGAGATGGGTAGGCAAAGTCCGTGTTGTATGCTCAGCATAGAACAGTTAAACAGTGGAGCTTTAAAAAGACGATTAAGGGACATAAGTAACTGTGTGGTGTTATCCCATGTATGCCCAACCCAGGCTAAGAGTTAGTCAAATATTAACAATGAGAGTCAAACAGAAAAAAACAATAAAAAGAAAAATATTTCAGCTGATGACTCCTCCGAGATCACCCTCCACAACCTAGGGACCGAATTGTAGCCCACTATAATCCTGGCTCCTTCAGCCATTTTCCACAGCGAGACGAGGCACAAAGGAACAGCTTTCAAAATGTCTCATGAACAGCCAGCAGGGGTGGTTTTACGCTGCACCATTCCCAGATGCGTAAGGAAGGAGTCCAAGTCCTACGGCGAAGTAAGCCAGTATATGGTACCTTCTTTGGTGGCGAGCACGGTACGGGATGGGCCCCTTCTGTATCTATAACCTCAGATTGTCGGACAGAGCGACTCCAACACAGAAATGTCAGCTGCATATCTTCAAATGTTACCCGAGATTTCGATTTAAGTGCCTCAACTACCGCCATCCTGGAATAATATGAATCGGAGTAGGACACCACGGAAGGCCTCTGCAAGTGCCCTGTTGGACTTTCAGAGTAAAATCAACCATCCTGTTTTTAATCAGCCGGGGCGGCAGGATAGGTGAGAGAAGACGTCAGATGAAATGTCACTGTCGGCGTTTGATTCTGCAAAACCTCTAATTTTGAGGTTATTGCACCGTATTGCGTTGTCCATGGCATCCCACCTGATCAGCATGGTCTGGTGTGATGCCCGAAGGCACTGGATCTCCTCAGCGGAGCCCAATTGGCGTTGTGTAAGGGAAGAATCATCCTTCTCAACTGCCTTCACTCGATCCTTGATGGCTGGCAGCTCCTCTCGTAGTATTGCAAGTTTCGACCCAATGAACTTCCGCCATTTCGGAGTAAATTTTTGCACCAATAGGCAAAATCACTTTATGGGTTTATTTTTTACGAAGTGCCATAGTGTTTAAAAAAACCCAGTCAGTTCCACGCCCTGCTGTGCCAATTAATAACAATTTGTGCACTTTGTGGATTCATAAGCGAGAAGCTGAACTTAAAGTACGGTTTATGGTATGGCTATTTAATGCTCCTGACTTTCTTTCAAAGTTTGTTTTAAGCTTTCTATTGGATCAATAGCAGCAACAAAAACATGAACAAGTTTAAAATAAAAAAAGAAATAAAAACTTAATTTATTACCATTCAAAAGGAAGTTGGTGAGACAGGAGGACGGCCTGCTATTAACATCTACGGGGGATATTCGATAGGCTCCTATACAGTAATGTAATTCTGAGAGAAGAAATAGAGAAACGGCATTGATCACTGAAAATGAACATCTACACCATGTCAAAACCCAGGTATATCTACACAGAGCACAAACACTACACCTATATATAGATATACTTGCAATTCTTTAATAGAACATTGTCAGAATTTTTCTAATCTCTTACAGTCTTTGTGTTGTAATAGATCATCTCATACATTTAACTTATGGAAAAGCAAGAGACAGTTGTGAAATAGTGAGCACTGAATCAGATAGATGACAATACGACCAAAGGAGCAGAAAGATGGCTGTCAGAAAGGGAGAGTGTGAAAGGTAGTAAGTGATTTCTTAAAAAATAATAAAATAAAATAAATTTACTTTTAACTTTACATGATTTAAAAAATAAATTGTATATTATAACAAAGATTATAATACAATATTAACAAACAAAAAAATAATAACAAGCAACACAACAACTTTGTTTTCCTGGCACTATAGTTTCCCTTTAACACACGTACATGCAGAAAACAAAGGGAACTCCTTGCTTGTATATGTAATTCACTTTAGTACATTTAATCTCCCCTAGTTACGCTATATATTAGATTCTCTCTCCTCCCTAGTTACGCTATATATTAGATTCTCTCTCCCCCCTAGTTACGCTATATATTAGATTCTCTCTCCCCTAGTTACGCTATATATTAGATTCTCTCTCCCCCCTAGTTACGCTATATATTAGATTCTCTCTCCCCTAGTTACGCTATATATTAGATTCTCTCTCCCCCCTAGTTACGCTATATATTAGATTCTCTCTCCCCTAGTTACGCTATATATTAGATTCTCTCTCCCTAGTTACGCTATATATTAGATTCTCTCTCCCCTAGTTACGCTATATATTAGATTCTCTCTCCCCTAGTTACGCTATATATTAGATTCTCTCTCCCCTAGTTACGCTATATATTAGATTCTCTCTCTCCTAGTTACGCTATATATTAGATTCTCTCTCCCCCCTAGTTACGCTATATATTAGATTCTCTCTCCCCCCTAGTTACGCTATATATTAGATTCTCTCTCCCCTAGTTACGCTATATATTAGATTCTCTCTCCCCCCTAGTTACGCTATATATTAGATTCTCTCTCCCCTAGTTACGCTATATATTAGATTCTCTCTCTCCTAGTTACGCTATATATTAGATTCTCTCTCCCCTAGTTACGCTATATATTAGATTCTCTCTCCCCTAGTTACTCTATATATTAGATTCTCTCCCCCCTAGTTACGCTATATATTAGATTCTCTCCCCCCTAGTTACGCCATATATTAGATTCTCTCTCCCCTAGTTACGCTATATATTAGATTCTCTCCCCCCTAGTTACGCTATATATTAGATTCTCTCTCCCCTAGTTACGCTATATATTAGATTCTCTCTCCCCTAGTTACGCTATATATTAGATTCTCACTCCCCTAGTTACGCTATATATTAGATTCTCTCTCCCCTAGTTACGCTATATATTAGGTTCTCTCTCCCCTAGTTACGCTATCTATTAGATTCTCTCCTCCCCTAGTTACGCTATATATTAGATTATCTCTCGCCTAGTCGCACCATAATAGTTTATCACTCGCCTAGTCGCACCATATTAGATTCTCTCTCGCCTAGTCGCACTAGATTAGATTCTCTCTCGCCTAGTCGCACTAGATGAGATTATCTCTCGCCTAGTCGCACCATATTAGATTCTCTCTCGCCTAGTCGCACTAGATTAGATTTTCTCTATCCTGGTTGCCATATATCTCTTCCCATTTTTATCAGGGTTAGGATGTATTTATATCGGACTATAGCACTGGGTTTACTCTAGTGGAATTACACCTCCAAGTTTACTTTGTTTTCTACGATCACAGTCCTAAATGCCCATATAAAGAAATGAACATAACCTGATGTTGCGGGATTCCATCAGGAACTCTTTACCAAGATCTAGGGATCAATAAAACCACGACACCCAAAATAGTATTACTCACCCACGCTATTTGTCCTTGGTGTGCACCATTTCAAGGTCACCGTTTCCTTCAGCGTGGGTTCTCGACTGTTACTGACATGACCATCACCTAATAGAAATATGGAACAGATGTAACATACTGGGAGCCATGTGGCACTCGCCACCTTACAATGTGCACACGTTTCCTATTTCTTGTTACTCTGGATAAGAAGCCATAGCGCTTCATGATTCCACTTTATGGAAGAGTGTGGTTGATCCAGCGGCAGAGGGAACACCACACTGTATTGTGCAGTAAACTTCAGAAAGGAACAACGCATCGCTATGGGGTTTTCTGTCGGAAAATATTTCTGCTAATCTGGATAACTAAAATATTTATTAGTAAAAGCATAGAGGAGGGCATAGTTTCTAAATACGGGTTTACATCCAAGGCAATGGTTTGTATCTAGACCTAAAAAAAAAAAAAATAATGCACCCCAGTGTGGCCAGACATGGTAATGGATTATTATATGTGAAAGAAACGTCATCGTTCTTTGACGAGAACACTTTGTTTCTACAAATTCTGCAGAAAGTCAATATCTTTAAAAAAAATATATACTAGGTGTATTGCGTTCTGCTGGGTAATGTTAATTTAAAAAAATAAATAATAATTTACTAACCAAATAAAAAATGACTTCTTCCCTTTAGAGTGTTAGGTCTTATTGATCAGGCACTAAAAGGATTAGCCACTAATATAAGAAAGAAAGTGAATGGGTTATACATCTGATGATGATCTAAGAGAGGCCTAACTCATAACTGAGGCAAGATTATGATTGCTGCCATGTGATTAACAGAAACCTCTTCTGAATATTTGTTACACGAAGCTTGTGTTCCAACTGGTGACAGGCATTCAAAGTGCACTACGCAGGCTAACAGTTCCACCATTAAATGCGGCTGGAACATTCTGACACACTCACCACTCTTTGCAAACTCCACATGTGCGTCCTTGTGGTGGAGAAGCTCCACGTCGTAGTTTGCTGATGTATTGGCATGTTGTTCTTCCTTAATTAGAGGGAATATAAAAAGCAGAGACACAAGAAGAATGTTGACCACGTTTCCCCACTAAAAGCAATGTTACAAAGTGAAGATCAGGAAGCGCCATTTATAGACCACAGCTTTTAGAAATGACTTCAAATGATATCAAGCATCTTCCATAAAACAAAACATGTATACCCAGATACAAAACTACACTATTCTTTCAGACTCGGGGGATGCATAATGGTTTTATTAAAAGGACAGGAGAGGCTATCACAAAAATCTTACCTGCGTCAACTTAAAACACTAGAAAGCTTATTGTCTGTGCCGGGTTAGTAATTCGAAAGGACATAATGAAAGCAAAGCCACACTTGTGTGAACACAGGTTAGATCTCCAGGAGAAGTTAAGGCAACTCCATAAAAATAATATATATATGTGGGCATAAGATGGGCACGCGGACAGAGATGTAACACATCACAAGGACACAGGAGAACAGAGAAATCTAGACACACTACAGGGCAGCAGGACGACAGGGAAGGGGGCAGAAGCCAAATTTTAGTCAACAAGGAATTCTGCTCCACAGTCCTGCTTTGTTTTGGAGGGAGGTGATTTCCAAAATGTACTAACCTGATCACAGACATTGAGTGTGGGCTAGTGAAAAACAGAAAAATATGATATGGAGAGGAAAAAACAACGTAAAAAGGAAATTCAGAAGTTTTTTGTAAGGAAAAAAAAATATTGATTGGTCTTCGGAGAATGAGATCTTACCTTCATTGGGATGTTGGTGATGGTTGTAGATGCAAGGTCAAAGTGAAGTTGCACTAAATGGTTCAGTTTTGTGGCAAGATGGCGTCCAGCTCGGACACTGTGAACCTCACTGGTTAATACAGGCGAGAGCTAGAGACAAGTATTAAACAAGCTAGGTCATCGTCTCACACTTTACTCCAAATAAAGATCACACTGCAGTACACTCAGCAGGTTCCATGTGTACTGCAGAAATTGTAAAGTTCATTATTAAAGGGACATACTAAGCAACATACCTGTTCAGCTTAGAGTAATGGTTATGTGGCCTAGTGTCTGGCCCTGGGACAGTGTTCGGTCAAAGAATTTAGTAGCACCCCTCTCGGAACCCAGAGATCTTTTCCTCCTTGAACGTACTGATAATGTAGAATTTACACTCCAGCATTATCATTGTCCATTTCATCCTACCTGGACGTCATTGATTAGCTATTAGTGCAGGGAATTAGCACAACACTCTCAGCCGATCAATACCATCCAATCTGGGCGTAACAGACATTGATAATGTGGAAGATTTAATTACACATTATTGATTCAGTTAAGGTGGGAGCATTCACTGGGTGCCAGGGAGAAAGCCATTGTATGCCAAACTGATTGAATTAAAACCCAGGGATGGTGTCAAGAGTTACTTAGAGCGCCCCTTTATGTCTGTGTAAAACAGACAACTAAACCAAAGGCCAATGGGTGCAGTGTCGGTTGCTGCGCTCCTGCCAGATGAGCTAAATTCCCTTCTGAAGTTAAAAGGTGCTTTTTGGCAGATTTTACGTTAATAAATATGAAGCTCTATTGATTCAGATTATATAATGACATTTTTTCACGGCTATGGACGATCTGTAGAAATAATCGCATTTAGAGCTTATTGTAAATCACCTTATCATGGGGAAAATAAATCTATTTAAAGAAGCACAGTGAATACATTGAGATGTTGCCATAACCTCTTGAAAGTTAGCCATTGGCTGAGCCAACGTACATGGTATGCTGGGCACAGCATGCAAATTAATTAACCCGTGCAATGCCATACTTTTCTGAAAATGACTCTTTAGGGTTACACTTGCATAATGCAGTGCATCTAGAAGACCAATATCCAGAGTAGAATGGAGTAAATTGGAAGATCTATATTTTAACAGAAAGTGCAATGGTTTCTAAGGTGACAATGCATCAGGAGAAAAAAGTCACAAAATTATATTTGCCATTAAATATATATATATTCTATATAAAATGGTTCTATCTGCAGACAATACGGCCAGTACAGAGACAAATTAAATTAAACTTCTAGCTGTATGTTCCCCTTGGACTGGAAGATATCTTCAGTCACCTGTGGGTACGTTACCTCTTTCCGGGGTCGATCAGAAACCAAGCTGTCATCCCCAACTGGGTAAGTGTGGATTAAAACCAACTCACATTTCTGGATCTGCATGAGACTAAAATAAAACAGATTTAAAATGTGTATTAACCTCTACCGGAGCAAACTGTGTTTCCTGATTTCCCCTTTGTTAAAAGTGCGTACAAAATGTTTCACCCCGAAAAACCCTCCAATATTAGCATATTTTAAACAAAGTGGGTTCTTCTGATTTCACTTTCTCCATACAGAAAAGATATTCAGAGAAGGACATACAAGTCGCTTAAAGGCAAAAAATATAGAGTAAGAATAAAAAATAAAAAACACAAAAAGGTCAAAATGATGAACATAAAATATTAAACATTAGAAGGCAAAGGATTTATAGCAAACCATGCAATTCAAAGAAACATTACCAATATAATACACTGGGCATTTTAATACCAATCAAAATATTTAATAAGAACTACTGTTCAAAATATACCTAAACTAGACAAACAATGCTCAAGAAAGATTATAGGAGGATCAGTCACAAAACATATAACCCCGTCTCTAAAGGATTTGGTGTAAACGTTTCCTTTTAACCCCAAAGGATTTCTAGTGGTTTCCAGAATTTCTCTGTAATCAGAGAATGAATTTCTAAAATAGTTAAATGTAAAACTACTGGACTAACAGTCCCTAAAAGTAAAGATAAATTGTAGATTCCTATGAATGTATTTAAGATGAAATAAAAGCCTGGGCAATAGTACAAAGTGTGGGCAGAATTACTGGATGAACAGTAACAACATTCCGGCCCTGAACAGAGCTTTTTTTCAAGCTCACTGTAAGTATAGATTGTGTTGTACGTTATTGTTTACACACATACACTGATAAAGGCTGCCTTAGGAGCCGAAACATTGCTGCTTTTAATCCAATGAATCTGTCTGAACTTTGGACCAGTTCCCAGTTTTTTATCTGACTGTTTTGGAGTTTGGTCACCCCTGGAGACTGGAGATACGGTCATTACTCCTTGCTTGTGCATACCCTCTCTCATTTTGTATAAAGGGAAACTCCATACAAATAATCAAAACATATCCTAAAAGTATACGACCATCTCTAACCTTGTATTAATTAAACTTACATAGCCAACAAGTTAAATCCGCTCACATATTATGTACAATGATAGAATATATTGACAGAGACAAAATGTAACATTTATAAACATCTATCTAATGATACGGCCTGCGAGTTGCATATAACCTCGTATTATATACAGGGCTCAAAAAGTCCAATTGCATGGAAAGATACTACCAAGCCACCATTTTATCCAGGATATACGATTGGACCACTAGTCCACCGACGAGGCAATGGGGAAAACTCGAGATCGCTGTATTTACGGTACCCCTCTACACAATCCCATGGCAAAGAACAAACATGGCCGTGCTACTTACCCAACATGCCTCCCACCCCACTATCCACCCTACACAAGATTTGGTCACACATAAAAGAACTCCCGAACATCTCCCCACACCCGTCCCCTTTATACCCAATTACACATAACCCACTCTTCCCGCCAGGCCTACATATGGCCACCTACCAAAATTTACAGGACTCAGCTGATGCGCTTTATCTCACACTAGGGAGAGTGTTAGACAACAACTCTATCCGCCCTCTCACCGAACTGACAAAGCAAGACAAACCGACCTCACTGACAACTTTCCATTATGTACAATTGACCCACTTCATAGAGTCCAACCCAATACTAAAAACGGGTTCCCGCACACTCACAGACTACGAAATACATTGTACAACACACAACGTCAAAACCAAACATCTATCGACGTTTTACAAACTTATTCAAGACAATCATAACAAACCTGCACCCAGGTTCACGGAGTCGTGGGAGAAGGACCTTAACATAACTCTCACAGATCCCCAGTGGAAAACTATATTTACACAAATCCACAAAACCTCCATTTGCAACAGGTTACAAGAAAGTGGATACAAGAGAATATCTCGCCGGCGAAATTACACAACCTCTTCCCACAGACACCAGGAACGTGTTGGTAATGCCACCAACAGGGGGAGACTTTAGCGCACATATGGTGGCAATGCCCTAACATACAAATATATTGGAACCACATATTGTCAATGATCAGAATAGTGGCGGGGCTGAAACTCCCCACAACACCCCAATCCCTACTGTTTTTACTTCCACACACGCCTTTACCGAAGCCATTGCGTATGCTAGTAGTGCAATTGCTCATAGCGGCCAACGCCCTCATTCCCGCAAAATGGAAAAACCCCGAGACCCCCACAATCAGAGAATGGATCACAAAGGTAGATGGGATTAAAGACTTGGAAGAAATTCACGCTTCCATAACACACACATACCCACTCTTTCGTGAGGTGTGGAGTCCCTGGGTGAAATTCATGACCAAACCAGACCCCACGAATCGCACTCACACTTATGCCTGGGACTGTCAACCGCCTCACATACAACGATACTGTCTAGATTCAGCACCGGTCTGCCCGAGACACCCCCCCCCTCCCTTCAGTTCTAACCACCCCCTTCCTTTTTAGCCTTCACCCTAGGCATCAACCGCATTTGACGACTGTACTAGGATGAGATGCTCAAGAGATGCACGCCCACGGTCTAAGCGGGTCATCAGCTGCCACCTCCACGTATCACAACTCTTACTGAAAACATACAGAGTAGCCCAGTAGCCTACACTTAACGAGTTCATAGGACTGGAGGCCATGTCCACACTCCGATCCGGAAAGTCACCACACACACCGACAAATATGGGTGACAAAACCGTACAACACTTCAACCACGAGCCGACTAGACACGCCCCACACTATGCCATAAACACACGGCCTAAGTAAGAGACTACCCATCACTACAATTAGACGCTCATAACCCACAATGTGGGCATGATATACAGGCTTTATGATGACTGTAAATACACTCTGAAAAGTGAAAGATACACAAAATATGACAAGACTCAACGGGGCTAGACGACCATTCCCTCCCCCACCACGCTTTTTCTATGTAGTCACATTGTTCAACCACTTATGACTTCACAGAATAGACCTATGCCTAACCCGTGTAACCCTTCCTGTTTCATTTAAACACCTTGTAATTCTCGTGTCTAGCTATTATCTATTTCTGTAATATGCGTTTATGACAATAAAGACTTTGAAACCAAAAAAAAAAAAAAGTCCAGTTGCCATTGGGGAGTAGAAATTCCCTCCAGTACAGTTATTTGGAACCATCAGGTTTGTAGTGGCAAGTACCGTTAAAATCCTCCCCAGTGGTGTAAGACTTTATATACGGACACGGACGTGCACTGAATTTATCCATATATTATGTAAGCATGATGCATTTAACACCTATAATACATATGGATATAGAGCCACTTGTTACATTTACCGGAAACCTAAAATTAGGAATACAAACCTTTATTTCTAACTTCACAGTGATTGTTTTTTTTTTTTTTTAACAATTTAGGAATTTTTTCCTCTTGACCCCATCAGACAAATATCTCAACTTCACCCATAGGGAAGCATTGGGGTGGGGTACTGTACATGAGTGGAATCCCCTTAGAGGATGCATTAGAAAGGCGCGTCTCTACGAGGAGTGTTGTGCACGTTCAGGCAGAGTATACAGTCACAGAATGTTGCACCACTGGTACCGGTCTGATTGACTGTCCGAGTGAAAGCCACTAAAGGTCTTCTCAGAAAACGCAGTATTTACATTGCTGAGACTGCAGGGAGAGTCCCATCTCACCACATTAATGGAGATCTGTCACTTTCAGGGGTATTTTCCTATGTTACAAAAACCCTGGGAGGTGACATTTCTGGTTAGGGTCTGGTGGGCATGGGGTGCAGTGAAAGGTCAGTTTACTTACCTGAAGCTGTCCCTCCCTTCTTCCTGGTACTTCATCTGCCAGGAACAATGACAGTACAACACTGAAGGTCTATGGAGGAATCCCGCTGGAGCCTCCATTGATCAAGTCTTGTGATGGGCGAGACAGTGCCCGAATCCCATAGCTCTGCATTTTGCAATTTCAGGAGTGTCCAGAACACAAAATCCCTACTTTGAATTTCATTAAACATTCCAACTCCTTCAGCATTAGTATTTCATAAAGATTATATCTTTAGGATATACTAAGAAGTGACAGGGACATATCTTTATGATATACTAAGAAGTGACAGAGACGCTTTAAGCTGTAGAGGTTCTGGTGGATAGTGTCCCTATAATACATAAGGATACAGACACACAAGCTACATTTGCAGGCAGATTACTTACTGATCAGAGCCGGCTGCCAACTTGTTATGTTCATGAATGGTTTCATTGACACAATCTTCAAGCATCTGAACATGGCTGTCACTGTAACAGAGAGCGGTGTATTCTTTGTGATCAGGCCCAAGATGCACCCTGCATTAATAACCATAGTCCTGCACCCCCAATCACACCCAGAGCCGTATCTGCCGTGGCACATGCGCACACACCGTATCCGCCGTGGGGCACACTCACACCGTATCCGCCACCAGAAACTCACACCGTATCCGATGTGGTACACTTACACCGTATCCGCCATCAGACACTCACACCGTATCCGCCGTGGCGCACACACACCGTATTCGCCATCAGACACTCACATCATATCTGCTGTGGCACACGCACACACACACCGTATCCGCCGTGGCACACGCACACACACACACACACCGTATCCGCCGTGGCACACGCACACACACACCGTATCCGCCGTGGCTCACGCACACACACACCGTATCCGCCGTGGCTCACGCACACACACACCGTATCCGCCGTGGCACACACACACCGTATCGGGTGGCACACACACACCGTATCCGCCAGTGGCACACCCACACCGTACTCCGCCGTGGCACACTCACCACCCGTATCCGCCCGTGGCACACACACACCGTATCCGCCGTGGCGCACACACACACACACACACACCGTATCCGCCGTGGCACACACACACACACACCGTATCCGACATGGCACACTTACACCGTATCCGCCGTGGCACACTCACACCGTATCCGCCGTGGCACACTCACACCGTATCCGCCGTGGCACACTCACACCGTATCCGCCGTGGCACACTCACACCGTATCCGCCGTGGCGCACACTCACACCGTATCCACCATCAGACACACACACTGTATCCGCCGTGGTACAACATATCTGCCGCGGTACACTCACACCGTATCCACCATCAGACACACACACCGTATCCGCCGTGGCACACCGTATCCACCATCAGACACTCACATCGTATCCGCCGTGCCGCACACATACACACACACACCGTATACGCCATCAGACACACACACACCGTATCCGCCATGGTACAACATACCCGGCGTGGTACACTCACACCGTATCCGCCATCAGACACACACACCATTTCTGCCATGGTACAACGTATCTGCCGCGGTACACTCACACCGTATCCGCCATCAGACACTCACACAAAGACGTAAATACTCTCCATTATTATATGTAAATAACATGGTATCTGTTTGCTGTTAACCCTGAAAGGTTGTGCATTTGTTGGCTCACTCATTTGCAGTGAACCAGCAGTACACAATAATGATTTGGCAGGAAGTCAGTGTGCACCTTTTTGCGTTGGTGAGACAGATTATACGTCCTCTATTCGCCACTCGATCTGCGTTCTCCATTAACACGGTTCGTGCCTCATGTTGGTAATCTGTGATTTTACATAATGTTTCTACTGCCGCAACCAGTCCGTGCAGTATACTGCAACACTCAGGGTCAGCGCGAGGATTGGGGGGGCCGATTGTTGCTAAAGCTTCCATTAGCTGAAAAAGAGCGAGAGAGCAGTTATTTAACCCATTCACTGCCAAGCTAATAGGAGAAATTAGAAATTAGAAATACTGTGACATGAAAAGTAACATGCAGAAATTAATTGAAGCAAAAGGAACATTTTAAAGTCACCACCAGAATAGATCAGGGGGTACAAGAACCTCAGCGAGAGCACTTACCTCTTGTACATTCTGGTCCTCCTGAGACCAGGAATTCAATATACGGGAGCATGAGTCGCTGACAATGAAGTTTACCTAGAGAATTATGAAAATAAAATCAACATTCGTTGGGAGGTTTTACTCCAACTTGATAAATACATTATTCATTAGCGACTAGTTTTGCCTCAGAACTACAGCTCCTGTCTGGTCGCTCTCATTAATCTCTCCGGTGCTCCATTTCATCTCACTGCCACCAATGTAACTGACAAACGCTGTCTGCATCTATGCCTCATGGCAACTTATAGATGTGATGTGTCTCACATTAAACATCAAATGATCCCTGTTATTTGCCTCTAAAATTTAGCTTGACTATAACTGCAAATTACAGTGTCAGGGGGTACTTTGCTCCACTGACCCCTCAGCATTTTAAACAAACTATATTTATCCACTTACATAGAAACAGCGTACAGGGCTGGCATATCGCAATGTTCTACAAGCCATCTGAATTCAATAGGCGATCAGACAGCGGATGGAAACACTTCCCAGCAATATGCAGAATATATAGGCATCCGACTTCAAACCAATTATTTAAACCCCTGGCTTACCTTGGTAACTTAATACAAAACAAAAGTGTACACGGTTTAAAAGACAAATGAATAGCTCTAAAACACCTATATAGTGGTATCCCCTACACCACTATAAATACAATACAATACATACAAAATAATAGGTGGAGCTGTAAAATATCTTGAATAATCTGAGAGCCAACTGAGGAAGCCTGTTAATCAGGCGAAACGCGTTTTGGACACTCATTTTAACCCATATTGGACTTTATCTATACCCAATATTTATTGGTATAGTGAATTGTTATCTTTATCACCTTTTGTTACAAATAAATGAATATCAGTATTCAAGGATCTCCTGTATATTGGGCACTCTTCGGGAGACACTCTAAGGATTACAAGGGGGAACACAGAGAAACCAACGAAAGAAGGGTTTGGACAACCCCCCAATGGTCCAAAGGAGCATACTTTTAGAGTCATATGACGGTATGACTCTAGTCTTGTGAGTTTAACCATCTTACTTTTACAACGTATTATACTGTATAGACATACCACGCTATTTGCATTTATTCTGTTTTACAGATTATTCAAGATATTTTACAGCTCCACCTATTATTTTGTATGTATTACTTTGGTAACTCCCAACTGTGAAATTGTACAGTGCCCTGAATAAGCTGGCCCTTAGGATTATTGACAACCAGAAAAGACTCACCACTTTTTTGAAAGGAAAGATATCATACATGATCCTACAATATTCCATAGCTGCTTCCACCGCACATGTCCATAGTGATTTTGAGATTGGCGCTAAAGGAATAATTCCCTGAGTGCGATTTTTAGTCAGCATGTCAAATTCCACATGTTGTCGGCACGATTCTGCCATGTACGGACAGTGATCCACAACGAAAACGGTCTTGTGGGACTCTGCAAAGGTTTTCATTTTCTCCTGAACAGAAGGAAAAATGTATATTTTATTTCTTTAAATGGGCAGTAACAAATTCATGGGAACATTCGTTTAGTGTGGATTATCTTTTGGTATACATGGTTATTATAAACATGTCAAACACATTTTCCGTAACAGTGTCTTAGCTGCCCCAAATCAGCACTGCCAGTGTTCATTTTACCCTCCGCACCATTCATCTGGCAGAATGGACAGTAAGAACAGATTGATGACACCAGTGAGATGAACACAGTAATACATACACTTATTAACACATCAAACTGTTTAAATTGTGCAATGCAGATGTGGTGTGACCATGTCATTCATCGGTTTCATGATTTTTTTATTTTTTTTGGATGTGGGAAAGATCTTGAAACCAAACCATAACTCCACAATGGCAACAAAAATGTAATAGATCATAGAGCAGCAAGCCATCATCTGTGTCATTTTTGGCTAATTAATACATATTAAAGTATATTCCTTACTGAAATTACAAAGAAGATAATACAAATAAGACAATGGAACATACAGACATATAGATAGAAAGACAGATATATAGCGAGAGACTGGATAACATGGACCGAACACTTGATATCAGGATTTGGCTTTTACCTGCCCAGTGATGACCTCTCAGGTGAGATGTTTTTCACAGGTGAGTATCTGGGGGAACAGGGGTCTCTCACTCAGTTGCTGCTGACTCCTCTAAGGGGAGCTGGGGGTACAGAGAGCCCCTCTCAGTGGGGGGGGTCTGGGGTACAGAGAGCCCCTCTCAGTGGGGGGGGGCTGGGGTAGAGCCCCTCTGAGGTACAGAGAGCCCCTCAGGGTACAGAGCCCCTCTCAGTGGGAGAGCTGGGGGTACAGAGAGCCCCTCTCTCAGTAGAGGGCTGGGGGTACAGAAGCCTCTCAGAGGGGCTGAGGGGTACAGAGCCCCTCTCAGGGAGGTACAGAGGTACAGAGAGCCCCTCTCAGTGGGGGAGGGGGGCTGGAGAGGGCTACAGAGAGCCTCTCAGTGGGGAGAGAGCCCCTCTCAGTGGGGCTGGGGTACAGAGAGCCCCTCTCAGGTAGGGGACAGAAGGGGGGGGTAGCCCCTCTCAGTGAGGGGGCTGGGGGTACAGAGAGCCCCTCTCAGTGGGGAGGGCTGGGGGTACAGAGAGCCCCTCTCGGAGGCTGGGGAGAGTACAGAGGTACAGAGCCCCTCTCAGTAGAGGGCTGTGGGTACAGAGAGCCCCTCTCAGTGAGGTACAGAAGCCCCTCTCAGTAGAGGGGCTGGGGTACAGAGAGCCTCTCAGTGGGGGGGGGGGCACAGAGCTTCCTCTCAGTGGGGGAGGGGGCTGGGAGTACAGAGAGCCCTCTCAGTAGGGGAGGGAGGTGCTTGCCCCTCCTACAGAGGTGGGGAGGGGGCTGAGGTTGGGGTGGGGGTACAGAGAGCCCTCTCTCAGTGGGGAGGGGGCTGGGGGCTGAGGCCTCAGTCTGGGGGTGGGGCTGGGGAGTCTCACAGGGCCCCCTCTCAGTGTGGGGGGAGGTGGGGCACACAGGTGGGTCCCGCTCACACGTTCCCGCTGATGGTCGGGCTCTCTCCAGGGCGGCTCTCTCTGTCTCTCGGTCTCTCGGTCCCGGCCGGTGTTGAGCTCCGGGTTCTCTCACTGAGCGGCGGCGGCTTCGCGCTGGAGGTTTCTGGGCCAAACAGGCCGCCGTCCGAAGTGTCCGGCCGCGAGCACGTACAGCGTCACCCGGCCGCGCGCGGTGTCTGTCTCCTGATTGGCTGTCAGGCGGGGTCAGGGTCGGTCACTGCGTCACCAGCGCGGCCGATGACGTCACGGCTCGCGCTGCAGCGGTTTGGGACCAACACATTGCAAAGCCTCCTGAAATTACTGTGAGTGCACACTCACTGGTGACAGCCATCCCCCACCGGTGACAGCCAGTCCCACTGGTGACAGCCAGTCCCCCTCACTGAGTGACAGCCAGTCCCCCTCACTGGTGACAGCCGTCCCCCCCTCACTGGTGACAGCCAGTCCCCTCACTGGTGACAGCCAGTCCCCCTCACTGGTGACAGCCCAGTCCCCTCACTGAGTGACAGCCAGTCCCCCTCACTGAGTGACAGCCAGTCCCCCTCACTGTGACAGCCAGTCCCCTCACTGGTGACAGCCAGCCCCCCTCACTGGTGCAGTAGCCCCACTGGTGACCCAGTCCCCCTCACTGGTGACAGCCAGCCCCCTCACTGGTGACAGCCCAGCCCAGCCACTGAGTGACCAGTCCCCCTCACTGGTACAGCCAGCCCCCTCACTGGTGACAGCCAGCCCCCTCACTGGTGACAGCCAGCCCCCCCACTGGTGACAGCCAGCCCCCCTCACTGGTGACAGCCAGCCCCACTGAGTGACAGCCAGCCCCCTCACTGAGTGACAGCCAGCCCCCTCACTGGTACAGCCAGCCCCCCCTCACTGAGTGACAGCCAGCCCCTCACTGACCCTCACTGGTGACAGCCAGCCCCCACTGAGTGACAGCCAGCCCCCCTCACTGGTGACAGCCAGCCTCCCCCTCACTGGTGACAGCCAGCCCCCCTCACTGGTGACAGCCAGTCCCCCCCTCACTGGTGACAGCCAGTCCCCCCTCACTGAGTGACAGCCAGCCCCCCTCACTGGTGACAGCCAGCCCCCCCTCACTGGTGACAGCCAGCCCCCTCACTGGTGACGTACTTTGAGTGACAGCCAGTGAGTGACAGCCAGCCCCCTCACTCAGCCAGCCCCCCCTCACTGGTGACAGCCAGTCCCCCCCTCACTGGTGACAGCCAGTCCCCCTCACTGGTGACAGCCAGGTCACTGGTGACAGCCAGCCCCCCTCCACTGGGTGACAGCCAGTCCCCCCCTCACTGGTGACAGCCAGTCCCCCCTCACTGAGTGACAGCCAGTCCCCCTCACTGGTGGACAGTCTGGTGACAGCCAGTCCCCCCTCACTGAGTGACAGCCAGTCCCCTCACTGAGTGACAGCCGTCCCCCCTCACTGGTGACAGCCAGTCCCCCCTCACTGGTGACAGCCAGTCCCCCCCTCACTGGTGACAGCCAGTCCCCCCCTCACTGGTGACAGTCCCTCACTGGTGACAGCCAGTCCCCTCACTGGTGACAGCCAGCCCCCCCTCAGTGACCCAGTCCCCCTCACTGAGTGACAGCCAGCCCCCCTCCTGGTGACAGCCAGCCCTCACTGGTGACAGCCAGTCCCCCTCACTGGTAGAGTGACAGCCAGTCCCCCCTCACTGGTGACAGCCAGCCCCCTCACTGGTGACAGCCAGTCCCCCCTCACTGGTGACAGCCAGTCCCCCTCACTGGTGACGCCAGCCCCCACTGGGTGACAGCCATCCCCTCACCCCCCTCACTGACAGCCAGTCCCCCTCACTGGTGACAGGTCCAGCCCACCCTCACTGAGTGACAGCCAGCCCACCCCCCTCACTGGTGACAGCCAGCTCCCCCTCACTGGTGACAGCCAGTCCCCCTGAGTGACACTGAGTGACAGCCAGTCCCCCCTCACTGAGTGACAGCCAGCCCCCCCCTCACTGAGTGACAGCCAGTCCCCCCCTCACTGAGTGACAGCCAGTCCTCCGCCCCTCCCCTTCACTCACTGAACAGTAGCATCCATTTCATTGTCAGTACTCCATATTAAGTACTAGTCCTCCACTCACCTACAGCTAGTGTCACAGTCTCTGATACTTGGGGCCCCTTTCACACATCTTGTTACTAAGTGTTTGTCCTCCAGTCACTGAGCCTCTCTAACATTACAGTGTGTCCATTGATTTTGTTTATAGGGAGAAATGAGTTGCACAATTGAGAAAGTCTTGGCTGATGCTAAAGCCTTGGTGGAGAGACTACGCAAACACGATGGCGAAGCTGAATCACTAATTGAACAAACTACCGTGCTGAACAAACGTGTTGAAGCAATGCAGCAGGTGTGTACTTACACAAGGGGAGCAATGCTGCTTGCACTATGGTAATCTTCCATAGAAGCTAAAGTTGGTTTGGTGACTATAGTCACCAAAAACTATAGATCTATTTTACTCCAATTTAAGATTGGCACGTTTAAAGGAAGGTGAGGCCCACTGAGAAGGTATGTACATGGAATGAAGTAAGCTGATCTGGAATCCCTAGATGTTGTCACAGCCCGGCTGCTTTTTCACCTCTGGTTTGCCGTTCAGTTCTCAGTTCACATTTGTGTGTGCGTTCCCCCTCCCTCCCCAAGCTAGGGCTTGTTTTTATAATGTTGTTTTAGGTTTTACAGTCTGGCAGAACTGACCCAGTTATTTTTATGAAGGATTCTCTAAGCCACTAAATTTACAGTTGCCAGAATGCTTTAAGTCTTGGTTTATGGCTATATTCTCAAATCAATACTATTATAAATCATTCTGTATATGCAACAGTTTAACCTCAAAGTTGGTCCCCCTGTGCCCAACACTAGTGCCCCCTCATTTCCTTCCCCTCCCCCCCAGCCGCTGCAGTGTGAGTGATTTCCAGTGATGTCACCAGCTAATGTTTCCACTCTGATTTTTATTCAGCACAATTGGGTATTTAATGAATAAACCCCAGAGAGATGCCATAATCTTCTTTGAATTAAATGTGTTTTCATGGATAAAAACAGATCCTGTCAGACATATTATGATAGAAAACATAAACAAAATGGCAGAAGTGTATAATTAATTTGGTGCTTTCTCAGCCTTTTCTCTCACGAGTCCGTGTCAGCTGCGTGCTGTGTACAGATTATAGAGTGAATGGGAGCTTGTCAGAGCCCACGTTTGGAATAATGTTTCAATTCTAATTATTTATAGTATCAAGAGGAGATTCAAGAGCTGAATGAGGTAGCCAGACACAGACCTCGGTCTACATTAGTCTTGGGGATCCAGCAAGAGAACCGGCAAATCAGAGAACTGCAACAAGAGAATAAAGGTAAATGGTCTTCCTTGGGTCACATCTGATACTGCAACAAGCAGTTGCTGTCTAGTGTTACATTAAAGATTTTTATTTATTTATAAAATATTTTACCAGGAAAGATACATTGCGATTTCTCTCATTTTCAAGTATGTCCTGGGTCTAAAACACATTGCATTGTTACAATAGGGTACAATAAAATACAAAAACATTATTAAAGGAACACTATAGGGTCAGGAACACAAACATGTATTGTCGTTCTTGTGGCGAAATTTGTCCCATAGGAATGAATGGCAAAGCTAGAGTGGGAGCTGGCAAAAGCTGAAAAATCAGGACATGATTTCTAAACTGCCACCACTCCCTTATTTTCAGGCCCACCTACACAAATCTTATATCAAAACGTTCAGCTATCCCTGCTGCCACTAAACATGTCAACGGCTAAGCCATAGTCCTGATAGTTTTCACAATATAATTATTTGTTTGCAACTAACGCCGTCCATTGACTTTCATTGAAACTTCACTCTGCAAAGCTCAAATTTGAAGTGCAATTTCTAAACTGCGACTGTGCCTTCAATTTTAATACTTCAGAGACATACTATGCATCAAAATGTAGGTCTGGGTCTTGTGATTCTCACAATATAAAGCTCTTCACTGTAGGAGTTATAGTTTTTAAAATACGACCGTTTGAAGATGGCAACCGCCAAAATACTCTGACCTGTGTCAAGCTGCAGCAGCAAGTGATGTCATAGTCAGGGCCTTTTGAACACCTGCTAATGTTTTTATAAATGTATGGTTTAATGTAACTGTGCAACAACGTTGCAATTAAATGTGCTATATAAATGATAACAGTTACTCCGCCCACTCCAGTTGTAGACTACTGGTGGAGGCAAGAACACTTCACACAATTTCCCCAGAAATTGTAGCTTTTCTAGTTATTATTATTATTATTATAGCAAAATTTGCCACCCTAACTCCTCCCACAGTTTTTACACTACATAGACAAAAATTTACCAAAACGTGCAGATTGTTCCCGATCGGATTGCTATTACTTTGTGGAACGTTTCGCCGAATGGTTCACGGAATATCGTCGTTCTTGTGGCGCAATTTGTCCCATAGGAATGAATGGCAAAGCTAGAGTGGGAGCTGGCAAAAGCTGAAAAATCAGGACATGATTTCTAAACTGCCACCACTCCCTTATTTTCAGGCCCACCTACACAAATCTTATATCAAAACGTTCAGCTATCCCTGCTGCCACTAAACATGTCAACGGCTAAGCCGTAGTCCTGATAGTTTTCACAATATGACCATTTGTTTGCAACCAACGCCGTCCATTGACATTCATTGAAACTTCACTCTGCAAAGCTCAAATTTGAAGTGCAATTTCTAAACTGCGACTGTGCCTTCATTTTTAATACTTCATAGACATACTATGCATCAAATGTAGGTCTGGGTCTTGTGATTCTCACAATATAAAGCTCTTAGCTGTAGGATTATAGTTTTTAAAATACGACCGTTTGAAGATGGCAACCGCCAAAATACTCTGACCTGTGTCAGGCTGCAGCAGCAAGTGATGTCATAGACAGGGCCTTTTGAACACCTGCTAATGTTTTTATAAATGTATGGTTTAATGTAACTGTGCAACAACGTTGCAATTAAATGTGCTATATAAATGATAAGTTACTCCGCCCACTCCAGTTGTAGACTACTGGTGGAGGCAGAACACTTCACACAATTTCCCCAGAAATTGTAGCTTTTCTAGTTATAAATAAAGTGACAAGGGAGAGAGTGTAATCATTATAAATAAAGTGACAAGGGAGAGAGTGTAATCATTATAAATAAAGTGACAAGGGAGAGAGTGTAATCATTATAAATAAAGTGACAAGGGAGGGAGTGTAATCATTATAAATAAAGTGACATGGGAGGGAGTGCCATTTCCTAATGTTTTCCAGAGTTGCGTACGTCTCTTGAAGAACACCAGTCTGCTCTGGAACTCATCATGAGCAAGTACCGGGAGCAGATGTTTTGCCTGTTGATGGCCAGCAAAAAGGACGATCCCGGCATTGTTATGAAGCTGAAAGAGCAGCATTCGAAGGTGAATGGACTGTTTGTTTGACGTGAACAAGGCTTGGCCTAGTAATTTGTCTCGTACTGAATTTTGTTGATTAGAACTTCCAAAGAGAATACATCTCCCCATTCCAGAAATTGCAGAGATGTATGTGCATTGCTGGGATTGAAAGAAAGAGTGGAGCAGTCACCATGGTAACAAGTGCAATGTTCCTGCTGATTTGTCCATTTAGCTTTTCATTCCCACCAATCAGAAGAAAAAAAAATCCGATTAAAAAAGGAACATGCAGTTCAGATATAGTGGGGGGTGTTAAGGGCAGGGTTCAAAAACCTGTTTCAATTTAATAAAGTGTGAATATTCTGCCTGGGCTTATAACGCAAAATAAAAGTGGTGTGAGACAATGGCAGAAAGTAGAATGCGTTTCTAGCGCAAAAAGACAGTTGAATTAATCATGCCAGGAAAAAGAAAATGATTGAACAACTTTTTGATAAATGTCTTCATGGTTTTATTTTTCCGTGTATCTGTATGCTCTTGGTCTATTCTGCCTGCCAGACGCAGTGGGCGGAGATTATAACAATTGACAGGGAGCTATTATGGAGGCGCACGCTTTCAGCATTAATGTGTGAATTTTATATAAATATAATTTTATATTTTACACCTTATAAATATTAATTACAGGGATAAGTAAACATTTAAAACTCTATTAAAGATTACATTTACATTATTGATCTACTTTAACCTTGTTTTTCACTGAATTTAATCCTGCAGGCAGTAAACATATTTGGGTAATATAAAGCTTTTCATGAGTTTTGCAATCAGTGTTTATTCCACAATCTGTTTCACGATTTCCATCAGGATTTACAGACCCATGTGGAGAAAATCCATGAGATGACGGCAGTTATTAAGTGCGCCATAGAAATTGATAATCAGGAAGGGAACATGGAATATGATCGAATTCTAAAACTGGAGGTGAGGAAGCACACAGTTTGCTGCCGAAAACACAAACACACTGCGTCGGGGAAAGAAAAACTGAAATGTTTGTTTCTCCTCCTTTTTTAAGCTGAGTGACAGGTGTAAAGGACTGAACTTATAATAATGATTGTCATGGTGGTGATCTCTGCATTCTAGCATCCTTATCCTGGTATATTGTGAATACATTTGGTAATTTCTCCCCCCATCATTGTTGTATATCTCAAGGCTGAGAATTCCTGTGTTGGTTTACCAGAGGCCTTCCCCCAGCATCAGACCACCATTATTGGCTGTCTGGACAATATTCAGAGCTGCAGACGGCCTCTTACTTAGGATTGTGGTTCCCTGACACGAGTCAGTCCAACAACAGTTACTGATTGGCCCCTGTGTGGTCTGATCACGTTGGGAGCTGTCAATCACATGGTAAATGACAAATGTGTAAAAATCTGAGAAAGGCCCACGTGGGGGTATTGCTGTAGTCAGCGGCAGCTTCAGAAATTAAAGCTGGGGTCTGCAAAGTATATGGACACACTCAAGCTATGAAATTATATGTCGAAAAGAAAAAACTATGAATGAGAAACACAAATCGTGAGGTTTTGTGACAAAAATTTTTTAAATGAAACCGTCACTGATCGGGCTAAATACTCAGGATAATCTGCTTTATTCATAGATATATCATTGTGTAGTGGTTTGGGATCTTGTGACTGTTATTGCCTAAATAAACTACATTTAGCAACCGTTTTGTTTTTAAATAACAATATTCACCCTTTGCAACGTTTGTCTTTTAATGGATGAACAATAATGAAGTATTGGAAGTAGAAGTAATGTTTTTTACCATTTACTATTTGAATCATACTTATTGGGTATTATAAGAACACAGTTCTGCTCCTTAAAATATGATCTGTGGTAGGTGTGGGTACTTTGGAAGAGAGTGCATTTCAATTACAGTGGAACAAAGACTTAGAGGTGCCAGAAGACTTTTACAAAAGGGTTAGTTTTATTTTTCTTACCTCACAAACACACACATTTGTTAAATATAGGGGGATAAGTAAACAAAACAAATCCAGGGAAGTAATGGTTGCCTTTTTACGGTGTCAGTACTGGGGCACTGATGTGATAGTTTAGTGCATTTTAGAGGGGAGGCTGCATGTAAAAACTGCTGAGAGCTATCACAGGAGGCATTCCCCAAACTGCAGTATCCATTTCTACCACTAGATGGCAAGAACTGACATTAGCAGTATGTATCCTTTGACCAGGGGTGCCCGAAATGTAGATACCTAGAAGTTGTAGAACTACAGCTTCCATGATGCTTTGTCATTCTAAAGCCCTGCAAAGCATTGTGGGAGCTGTAGTTCTACAACATCGGGGAAGCTACCTTTTGGGCACCTCTGCCTTAAACAAACTCACATTACTGTAAAGGTTGTGATTTCACTTGTCCGAGATCTGAGGATTGTCTTTTTCATTACAGCAAGAAAATAAGGGATTACGGGAAATCCTTCAGATAACTCGAGAATCCTTTCTAAATCTACGAAAAGACAACCCGGAAACCACATCAGTGGCTGTTGTAATCCCAGGGACTGACCTGAGTTTACGGAAAAGCTGAAGCTGTTTTGTGCACTCTGGGCCTCAGACTGTGTGGAAACTGTTATGATGGGCATCAGCAAATCAATGTGACTGCACCCCTTTATTTAAACAGGATACGGTACATGGACTTACATCCCCAGTTTAAGAAGGTGCATTATATCTGCCAATCATTGCATAGATAACTGAATATTTTATTCCCCACAAAGCGTGAATTCTAAAAGTACTATTTTTTTAAGAAATATCTGAATATTTTATAAAACATGCAAAGGACTGTCAGATTCTATTCAGGCTGTTAATTCATTACATTCCTTTAAGTATTTCTGCAGGTGTAATCTGTTCTTTTTGGTGTGATTGTGATCAGTCCGTGCTGGTATAAAGCGAGCTTACACTGGCCAGTGACATCCTTTGATCGTTACCTCAATAAAATTGATGGCGTTTGTGAATACATACTAACCAAGTGATGTCTCAAATTTTTTTGTGAAGAATTGCATTACATCAATGCTTTTACTTCTGTAGCATCACATAGGTCTCAGCTTCATCCTGTGGTAGGAGGCTACATTCCCCGCAACCTCCTACCCTCCTGTGCTCGGGGATCAAAGAGGTTTTCTTACACTAGGTAAAGAAAAGGTCATTCCTCCCTACTGTGCTAGATGCTATAAAGTCTTAGGGCCCTAATAGAGTATGTTAATGTAAGGTGACACTAGTCTATGCCAGGAAACAGTATGTGGTTTTGTAGCATTAATAAGAATGAGTCAATCAGCAGACATTGCTTTATGAACCGTTTAACCACACTGAAAGGCGTTTTAATAATAAGTGAGTTTAAACAATGTTTTTAGGTCACATAGTGGAGTGAATATGTTGCACATGTGACAAGCAGTGTTTCACTTTCCACCTTGTGTTTGTGGTTAGGCCTCTAAAGAAAGGTGTGAAATGTACTCGGTTTACAGATACTGAAATCACAATCCTAACTAAGCAGAACTCTGTTACTGCCTCTCTAAACCCTGAGAACCCGTCTGTCCATCACGGTAATCTACTGACAATATTACGGTGGCCATACAACATTTCTGCAATTTTTTATTCAATCTCTTACACGCTGCCATTGCTTTGTTAATTCACAGTGGTTTTTCTGAAGAAAACAAAAAAAAAAAATTCGAACAGGGACCAATGCACAGAATTGCTCACTAGACAGTTTTCTTTTTTACAAAGGTTAGAATAGAACAATTTCCTCCCAGTGCATGTTTCTGCTTTTTCATGTTACATTTTATACAAAGCATGTTTGTTGTGTGATACAGAGACTTATAAACACTGTACAATTATTACATGTTACTCATAACAGGTCTCTTCTCAATGACTGGAGCCCTGAGAGAAAGTGGACATTCGCTGCCAATTAGGGAAACTAACAGAAATTTGACAGTAGTGTCATTAATGCAGCTTTTATCTTATCATGAGGCCTAGACTGTAGCTTCATGTTTTGGAATGTGATTTATTTTATTTTTTTGTTGTAAACAGGGAAGTCCAACCTTGGTTCTCCTCTTGTTAACAGGATAAAGTGTCTCGTCGGCTTATAAAGAATTCTGGGATAATGTAGTTGGGGGGGGGAGGTTGAACAGGCCTGATGCTTTACCCATGGCATAGTTAGTACAGGACCCATTACGAAGATAATACTGACACATTGTACAGATTAGAAAGTAGTCTGTAAATATCCTGAGAATTATTTTTAAAGAATATCTGAAATAAAATATTAACTCTGAGCACCAGGGTGCAAACTAGCTAACAGCCGGAGCCATTAGTCCTCACAACAATTCATGCTGCCCATATAGCTCACAACAAGGTATAAAGAAAGGAAACGCAGTGTAGGACTAGTAGTAAGCAACAAATACAACAATTCTGTGGGACAAATCATTCAAAAGAAGCCATTCATAGCCTTGTACACAGGGACAATTCAATGTGTTCACCACGCCCACTTTATGACCGGATCTCTTGTGCCGGTAATCTGCATTTCGTGTCTTGTCAGGGGAGGCAGATAATGTCCACATCATATCTGGGAAGAATCAACACATTTATATCACTGGTAGGGGATAGAGACTTTTTGGCAAGTTTACTGAATGGCTGGTTATTTTACTATCTTACAGTTTTTATTACACAGTAAGTGGGGAGTTCTGAATTCCACGTGTGCGCCCTACTCCGCTGGGAAGTAACTCCAGGTAAAGACTGTAATACTGACTGTGGTTACATCATTCTGTACACCTTGCAGGCGAGAGCTTAGGTTTCTTTATATCTGCGTCACAGTACAGGCTGATCTACAGGATAACTCACCCGCCATCACAAGACCAAAACCTTTTCCAAGTGTGCCCCACTGCTGCCCTCAAAGCTCCCTGCCCTCTTTCTGTTAGATACAATGGACTCCAATGGCACCACACTTGGTTAGAGAAGTAATGGAGTTATCTCTCCGATAGGTTGCGGCCGGCGGAACATGTCCCTAAACTTAGCCAGTCTGAGCAGCATCCGTTCTTTGAGGGGTGGCATATGGTGACTTGGGTCCAAAACATTGGTTTTCCGTCTCTCTCTGTCTCGTTTCCATATTAGATATGGGGATGGTGGGAACGAGGGACGCCCTCTCTCTCTGAGAACCTGGGTGGTAATGGCAGCCATAATCAGCACAACCCATAATGCGATAATGATGAAATCTGCAAGTAAATTTAAACAGTCAATATTTTTTTGTGCAAATCAATGGCAAGTCCTTTTTGGACTCCATTCTACATATAAATCCTCCAAATTCCATAGAGATCTCTGCACCGAGCATTTTCAGATCATTAAGTGTAATTTGGAATTACTCCACCCATCTGCGTACAGAACTCTCCAAACTGAAACCTCTCAGAAAAGCTAAAAAAACGTACTGTGGATCGTTACAAAAAACATGTGGCTGTGTGACTAAGATATATATGCAGTTCAGAAACTCATATATAACAAGTATAAAATAAAAATAAAAAAGTACAACTACAGTTTTACACATTGTGAGTTTTAGCACTACAGAGCTCTGTGAGTCACAGTAACATGTGCAGTATGTATAAATCACAGAGCTCCAAAGCAATAAAACTCTTAGGAATGTGAAGTGTGTATGAGGTTCATTACTGTGGAGCTCTGTGATGCATTAACACACATTAAGCTGGTATAACCTTTAACATAGCCTACCAGTATAAGGAGTCTAATGAAATGTTAGTTGACTGGTCAACCGCCAGTCATCGCCCCATTCACACTGCATGACTCCGATCTCTCATCCAATCACATACCGTTTCTTTGGAAGGGAACGCTGGTGTATGCTGTATTGAATTCATTGTTTAACGCTCTCTTGAGAATGTTTAATGTGATGTAGGACAAACTCGTGTACAAATAGCTATCAATCGCCAGAACCACGCTGTACGATCCAACCATGGCACAGCTCAATATATTCAGCTAGGAGAGAGGGAGAGACAGTTATATTCAGTAAAACACGGATTAAAAGACAGACATTTATATTGCAAATTGCATAAAAACAACCCGTCTGACTGCTATCCACCTAAAATAACCAGTTTGGGGAAGACTCTCCTAAAAGTACAAGCTCTTCATTTTGGACCAAATGTTGCACATTCAGGATTTAAGTAGCCTCAAATCACTACTCACAGCCCCACTCATTTATAAATCATCATCACACACCGTACAGCTGTAGAAAGCAAAGGAAGAGCGTGAGGAATAACTGAAAATGACCCAGAAAGTTACCGCCACAACCATCTGCTAGTGTTAGAAACATGTAGAATGGTCTTTAACTCAGGGCTAGTGTTAATATCCCTCCTCCCACTCCCAAATGGATAAAAAAAAAAAAATACAAATTGTATCGCAAATCACTTTACACAAACACCTTACATGTTTTGGAATAATGAGCAATACACTAGACACCATCATGAAACAGCAGAAGGTCAGCCAAAACACCAGGTTGTTCCGAAAAACTCCGTACTCTCCTGCAGGAAGACAGATGGAGATCAGCTATAACATAAACAATGTATAACCAGGGGAGGGGGGAATATACAACAGGGAGCTGCTTCTTTGTAATTGGGAACTCCCCGAACCTCATTAATAGAGTCAATCCATCTCTATATCACAAAAATATAGAAAGCTTTAATACAATATATAGAAGGGAAATGTAAAGTGTATAATCAGGGGTTTGAAGACTTTCCAGAGCGTACGGGACAGATCGCTCTAAGCAAACTACTAGCAGATACATAGATTGCAATATTTCTCTTTTACACTAACATATTATTTTACTTAAAGGGACACTTCACTGTCCTAACAAAACACATATTTAGTAGATATAGCCCCATTTAATTATACTTATTTTCAAGGCGGTACATCTAAACAGCTAGAACAGCTGCAGATCAATGAGATAACACAAAGCTATCCAGCAAGATAAAGTGTTTTAGTGGCTGGAGTGTCCCTTTAACAGATGTGTAGAATATAAAAACTAGTCTTGGACATAATTTGGTGAGACAGGATTTAAATCTTCTAAACAATACTCAACGCCAGCTTTTATTAAAAATAAATTGAATTGTACTTAATCCATTTTAAGATTTTAGTGAATATGTTCCAGGTTTAGACATAGAAATAGCGTATGTTGGTTTGTAAGTGTTCTGCCGAATGCTTGGTATTTGTGGAATGTAGAGACCAAGAACACCGATCTTTGAATTCAATGACGATTTCTACTGCAAAATTCACAGATTATCGAATACGTTCCTGAAGCTCAAATCCACACATTTACAGCAGAAATGTCCAGTTTAAATCTAGCAGTACTGGCCCTGTTTGATCACATATCTCACTTAGACAAGATATTTGCTAACCTGATCATATCTAATGAACACAGGACACGCGTATCCTTGTCTGATTAGCAGGTACCACGTAAGCCATTCATTTACCAGGTTTGTTAAATTTACCCTTGTTTCTCATTTTTTCATTTTATTTTATTGGGAGAGGCCACATTTTAGTACGATTATTTTCTCACTCGGCCCAAAGTTCTGCATCGCATCTACAATGCATTTTGTCCTACTCACATCACTCAATTGCCTCTAATAAAAAGAGGCATGGCTTATAAGGACGCAAACCTGTTATATACTATTGTATTATGTCAATTCATATACCGTTTCATCTTCCGATCATGCTTATACCTCGTTAAAAAAATAAATAAAGTTTTTACCATACAAGAGGCAGAGTTTTAAAGAATATATTATTTATATGATAGAGACAGCCATGAAATCTACCCTTGCCACCTATTTTTTTTGCACACCTACCAGCACCCCTTGTTCAACGTGATTACATTTGGTCACCAAAATATTCTCTCACCTATTGGAGTAAAGAAAATGATGGACGCCACAAGGAACCCGAACACCAGCCCCACAAACAGGATACAGACACGGACACAACCACAGCGCCACCAGAACGCCACTAGCAGTAGCCCCCCAAAAACGCCAGTCACTGCTGTCAAGTACAAGCGGGCTGTGGGTAGAAGGGAGGGAAAATGATGTTTATCTCAGCACTGCATCAATCATAATATGTTCATTTACCATTAAAGGCTGGTTTATGAATTAAATTAGTGCGAAATTACATTTTACTCACATTGCATGAGCTGCAGTTATACTGCTTGGAGGGCTAAGCTTGAACTATAAGGATACATTATATATCAATGCCAGGGAGGGTTCACACATTCTATTTTACAGCTCAGCTCACAGAATTAATCAGAGAATAAACAAATTTGTGTCTTGTAACAGTTTATTCTAAAGATTCTACAATACCCAAATAAAACACCTCTGGTACTGGACGGATTTATTATTTCTTTCCTACCCGGGGGCTTTGGCAAGGTTAATCAGAAAGAGTTTAGGAGACCTGCACCGTTTGCAAGTCTCAGTCAGGGGATGCGCCAGTACTTACTGTCGTACTCCAGCAGAGTCACTCGACTGAGGAGAATAAACATCAGGAATCCGGTGATCGTGAACCCCATAAAGAAGAGCTCTACAACACGACAGAGAATCAGAGTTGAAATAAACGCAATAACCGACTGCACTTAAAGCATGTGATTTCCAAAATAAAACAAAATTCTAAAATGTGAAAAAACAAACCCACATTCCCCAATGACAGGTAATGGCTAACCTGGCACTCACGCTGTGGCTGAGCTGGATGGGGATTGTAGTCTGCAGCAGCTGGAGTGCCAGAGGTTAATAATCACTTTTACACGTTTGTGTGCGGAAGGCGATACGACCCATGGTACCTTCAGATCTACAAACACCCCACTTATTCCTTTTTTAAGCATCACCATTGGAAACGTACCTGTTTTTAGATATCTGTGTCCGAAGAAGCAAATAAAGAGTCCAATCACTGCACAAAACGTAAAAAATACTTTGGTAGAACTTTTCCCTGAGAAAAAAATAAAAACCAGCCATCAGATCACAGAGTGCATTTACAGATATTTAATATATCAATTACAATTATTTATTATTCCTCATTCCCCATCCTCAACGGGCACAAACCTTGCAGATTTAAGATGAAGCAGAGTTAGTCAAGGTTCACGTGGAGCAATAAATTGCGGTGTTTGATGCGAGGACACAATAAAACCAATGATTTTGGTTTTATTTTGAACAGAGAAATGTTAATGCTATCTTAAGAAAAAAAAAAAAAAACACAACACCGTTTTTTACCATCATCCCATCAAACACACACATGGGGCGACAGACATATTCTGAGCAAAATGTTTCTTCTCTCACATGGCAATTGATGGTTTAACGCAAATCCCTGACTACTCGGAAGACCCATGTACAGATGACGGGAATTATACGTATTATACGCTGATAGACAAATAAAAAACCCAGACATGGCTCCATACCCAGTGTGTAGCAGTTATCCATTTTTGCTGTGAAGTTACAGGCGTACGTGTGAGCGGGAACATACGCTGCTGAGGTATTAAGTAGGGGATCGCGCACGATGACTGTATAAATCACGCCTTGCCCAGGGATGGAGGAGAAGGATGCCAACGGCGGGTCACTGGATTCCAGGGTAGCCAGCTGTGGGACAGATTCATGTTATAGAGCAATGATATTTTCAAAGAATGGAAACACAAAGATCAGAGTTAGAACAGTGACTGCCGCCTGTTACACGACACAGGTTTTGTAACTATATTTCCCATAATGCTTTATTATGTAGTATCTGAGGTGCAAAGGTCAGCTATTTTAAGGGTCGATTACAAGGTTGTCCTCTCTCATACATCAGCTTGTCTATGTCAGTTTGGAAACCCCCAACGTATGCAATATGGTCACAAAAATCCGCTTTCCATAGATTAGTTCATGCAGAGACAGCAACAGTAATCATTCTCACCTTAAATCCATTGGCAATAACTTGTTCCACCATATACATCTTCTGCAGGTGTGCCAGGAGAGTGGAGCTATTCAGATTATTCTCTGGCAGGAAATATTGGTAAATATCATACTGCAGCCGCCATCGGGAGGTCTGGCCTGTCGTCACATCACAAGCAGGGGGACTGGCATCCCTGTATTAAAGATAAAGCACTTGTATAACATCTTCTGACACAGTCGATGTCTGCAACAATGGAACAAAATTTGCAGCACTGTGTCAGCCCCCTCCCCAATATTGTCCCCACGTTTGGGGCAATATATTATTCATTGTTAGTGAAGCCATCTCTCAGTATGAATTCAATGGTTTCCAGATTTAAGAGGTCCCAAGGTTCTGCTTACCTGGCATAGCCCAGATTTGCAGGAGCAAATGTAATCGTTGTTTCATACAAATTATATTCTAGATGTAAATTTGGATAAATGTCCAAGTCAAACTCCAAGTTGCACGCTCCTGGGACAGGATCTGGAAGAAAAACAAAACACTAATTTATACCCATGATGTGCCATTTTTCCTACGTGAAAGGATTTGTGGTCTAAACAGCTGAGACCCCTCTTACCAAACATTCACAATGACGAACACTTACCTCTCTCAGTGTACGGAATGTTAACAACTGAAGCCAGGATTTCGTCAGGATAACTGGACTCCAAGTACCAGGTGCACAAAGTCTGCTCGGAGTGGAGGACCGTCAGTAATCCGGTGTCACTGCCAGTATCCGAATTGTTTCGGTTAGGGATCTGAAAGGACGGACACTAAATTAAAGAACGCAATAAACAGTTATCAGTATTGGGCGGCCATTCCATTATCCCAAACTCCGAGGTTCATAGATTGATACAGAAAAGAGAGTTTTGTGAGATCAATGAATATCCCTATTCTTTCAAGAAAAGTACAAAATCAGTCCATTGTACTGCCATAAAACTCCCACAATATTCTCCCAGCCCTGGGGCGTTATCATGTCTGGCAATTTAGACACAAAGAAAGTTCACACCAGTTAGATTATAGAGAAAACCTCAAAAACAAACAAACAAAAAAAACAGTAAAAGGAATGGAATGCATTCAAAAAGTGTGAGTAGTATGCAGGTACTCCTTATCAAATGATGGATAAAACAAGAAACAGAAAGAAAGGCCCACGGTTTCATTATCTTGAGGTTCAGGAAGAGCTTGGCTTGTATTTGTCGTGTGTTAGAATTTGCTGCTTATTAATGTGGTCAGCCCAGCTGCAGAGAGGAATATCTTTATATACTAAAACTAGCCCAAATATTACAAAATATGGGCCTTTTGTGCACAGAACAGCTCTATTGTTACAAAGCAGAGGGAACTTCCTGAAATAATGGGGCTTTCAAAATAATTTCAAGGGGAAGTAAAATATACAGAGCCTATTTTTATTAAACATATTCCTATTTAACCAACGGTACGTGAAGGTCTGTAGGGTGGTGAGAGTACAAAATAAACTCCACAGTAAAATAGGGAGGACAGAGCGAACTGCCGATGAGGCTAGACGCACCCTCTGCAAGCCCGGTGGCTACTCCCAGATATCTTCTCTATGTTGCAGATTTCGCCACCAGCTTCCCAAACAGCATGAATAGGAAGAGCAAGACGCAGAATGCAGACAGACGTCTGGAAATATGAATCTCGACAAAACGTTTGCAAGGCCACGCTGAGTACATCAAAACGGCAGCCGAGGATAGGATATGTCACTTCCCCAGGAGAACAGCTCCTTCACAGCCTAGATCTGGCACTTACTTACATGGCCTTTTCACTCTCCCTCTCAACAACCTCGTTACCAACTATCAGAGAGACTTACAAGCAATCAGTAACTGTGCTGTGAAATGAACACTCCACTGCCCAAATAAAATGAGAAAATAATCATTATTCAGTAGATATCTAATTATGCATTTTTGATTGTGGGTGTATATATATATATATATATATATATATATATATATATATATATATATAACACAGCTTGCAATTGATGCAGATATCTTGTCTGCAGCTTTCTGAGAATATCTTAAATCAGATCTAGTGATCCCCCGAGGCAAGTTTAACGATTTCTTCCTATGGTTAATAAAGATATTTTATATACACAAAATCCACGCTGTGTTTAAAAACGTATTTGGGTTTACTATTTGATAATGCTTGCTGCGTCAGATTGAATTTCTTGGCTTAGTATCAGTTAATTACGTGATCTGCATAAAATGTGAAAATAAATACAATAAATACAGAGTAAACTGTAAATAATTATTCGGCTGTGTTTTGAGAATATGAGGAAATCAGCAAAATGTCAACTTTAAGACAAACTTAACCAAGTTGAAAAATGAATAATATGAGCACAAGAAGAAACTAAATTAAATGGTTTCTACCCAGAGGACAACTGGTTGAAGGGCTTAAAGAACTTGTTCTGTACGTTACCCACAAGGGGGGTGGTGAATGTTAAAAACAAATATGTGCCAATCAAGTATCAGATGTAATACCAGCTAAGGAGCCATAACCCAGAGGGTCAGAGATGCCTTCATTTTGCTCCAGCAGTTGCACACCAGGCATAGTGCGTACATTAAATATTGCTGCTTCTACATGTGTCACTGCGAGAATAAAACACCGAAGCCAGGGAGCATTTGAGTGGTTCACTTACAGATAAACCTAGGGCCGGTCCGTCCTGTGGACACGAGACTTGGCATGGGATAAGCATTATGCTTGGCATTTACTGTTATATCTGCACGGAGCAGGACGCTGTGGTAAAAACCACAGGAAGTAAAGATGCAACCGATATAATTAAAAACAACAAGTTTAAAAAAACAGTTTGGAGCAAGGAAAGTTCAATTTCCTCTGCAAATGGCCCTGAAACCTCCTGATCTGACTTTATAAAGTCTCTCTATTTATAAATAAATCAAGTTACTGTCAGGAGTCTGCAGCCGCTGCCAAACTGCATGAAGGCAACAGCAGGAGACTGCGCCGGACTGGAACCGCATGTAAAAATAAAACGCAGGGACAGAGGAGATCAGATAAAGAGAGGAAAATACAGAATTCACATCATGCGGGCTGGTGGCAGGAAATGGATTAGAGTACCAAGGCCCGGACATTGTTACTAATGAAGATGAGAAGGTTTTATAAAATAAGCCGTTTTATGCTTCACTCCACGCTTCATCAACAGCTGTCAATCCACAGAATCTTACAAAACAGATACAAATACGTTGTGTGAACCAAATTAAGAAATACATCCCCCATAAAACGCTCATACTAATTTGGGAGGGAAAGGACAAAAAGAAAGGGAAGGCAATGACAGCAGGTAGAGCAGGGTACAGAGTCAGATACACACACCGACAGCATGTACAGCAGGGTACTGAGTCAGATACACACACCGACAGCATGTACAGCAGGGTACAGAGTCAGATACACACACTGACAGCATGTACAGCAGGGTACAGAGTCAGATACACACACACTGACAGCATGTACAGCAGGGTACAGAGTCAGATACACACACTGACAGCATGTACAGCAGGGTACAGAGTCAGATACACACACTGACAGCATGTACAGCAGGGTACAGAGTCAGATACACACACTGACAGCATGTACAGCAGGGTACAGAGTCAGATACACACACTGACAGCATGTACAGCAGGGTACAGAGTCAGATACACACACACTGACAGCATGTACAGCAGGGTACAGAGTCAGATACACACACAGAATGATAGCGGGTACAGCAGGGTACAGAGTCAGATACACACACAGAATGATAGCAGGTACAGCAGGGTACAGAGTCAGATACACACACACACACACACACACACTGACAATATGTCCAGCAGGGTACAGAGTCAGATACACACACACGTACGGCATGTACTGCACTGTACAGAGTCACACACAGCATGTACAGCAGGGTACAGAGTCAGATACATACACACACACTGACGGCATCTACCACAGTGTACAGAGTCATACACACAGCATGTACCGCACTGTACAGAGTCATACACACAGCATGTACCGCACTGTACAGAGTCATACACACAGCATGTACCGCACTGTACAGAGTCATACACAGGATGTACTGCACTGTACAGAGTCATACACAGCATGTACTGCACTGTACAGAGTCATATATACAAACACACACAGACCGCATGTATTTTTGACACTGTTGCACATAGAAGGATTATCAATAAACTGCAATCTTTAAGTTTGGATTCCAATATTGTTGAATGGGTAAGGCAGTGGCTGAGTGACAGGCAACAGAGGGTTGTAGTTAATGGAATATATTTGAAGCTTGGACTTGTCACCAGTGGGGTACCTCAGGGATCTGTACTTGGACCCATTCTCTTTAATATTTTATTAGTGATATTGCAGAAGGTCTTGATGGTAAGGTATGTCTTTTTGCTGATGATACTAAGATATGTAACAGGGTTGATGTTCCAGGAGGAATAAGCCAAATGACAAATGATTTAGGTAAACTAGAAAAATGGTCAGAATTGTGGCAACCTAACCTCAACATTTTAGGAAAGGGATTTAGGGGTGATTATTTCTGATGACTTAAAGGTAGGCAGACAATGTAATAGAGTAGCAGGAAATGCTAGCAGAATGCTTGGTTGTATAGGGAGAGGTATTAGCAATAGAAAGAGGGAAGTGCTCATGCCATTGTACAGAACACTGGTGAGACCTCACTTGGAGTATTGTGCACAGTACTGGAGACCGTATCTTCAGAAGGATATTGATACCTTAGAGAGTTTCAGAGAAGGGCTACTAAACTGGTTCATGGATTGCGGGATAAAACTTACCAGGAAGGTTAAAGGATCTTAACATGTATAGCTTGGAGGAAAGACGAGACAGGGGGGATATGATAGAAACATTTAAATACATAAAGGGAATCAACACAGTAAAGGAGGAGACTATATTTTAAAAGAAGAAAAACTACCACAACAAAAGGACATAGTCTTAAATAGAGGGACAAAGGTTTAAAAATAATATCAGGAAGTATTACTTTACTGAGAGGGTAGTGGATGCATGGAATAGCCTTCCAGCTGAAGTGGTAGAGGTTAACACAGTAAGGAGTTTAAGCATGCGTGGGATAGGCATAAGGCTATCCTAACTATAAGATAAGACTAGGGACTAATGAAAGTATTTAGAAAATTGGGCAGACTAGATGGGCCAATTGGTTCTTATCTGCCGTCACATTCTATGTTTCTATGTACCGCACTCTACAGAGTCACACACACAGACGGCATATACAGCAGGGTACAGTCAGACATACACACAGATGGTCAGTACAGCAGGGTACAGAGTCAGACACACACACGGATGGCATGTAGATTATTATTATTATGTTATTTATATAGCGCCAACAAATTCTGCAGCGCTTTACAGTGGGTGGACGAACAGACATGTAGTTGTAACCAGACAGGTTGGACACACAGGAACAGAGGGATTGAGGGCCCTGCTCAATGAGACATACTGACACATACACACACACACAGACAGACTGACACACAGATACATGGACAGAAACTGACATACACGCAAAATTTACATTTTAAGCCCACCTTAATTTCCTACCTTTTGCTGGAGGGTGGCATCCCTGGGATCCAGTGTGCTGCATGAGGATGATGTGAGTGAGGAGCCCCCATCCTCACTGCCTCCTCCTCCTCCCTCCTGTGCAGGTTTTTCTTCTCCCGCGCAGCAGCTTTTTATGGGAGGAAGTGACGTTCAGCACTCACTTCCTCCCAGCGCTGCCGAAAAGCAAGAGGCCCGGTCGCGCTGTTAAAGGGCCACAGCGCCCAACTGGGCCCCTGCTGGTACAAGCCCACTGGGTGGCCCTAAGTGCATGGGCCACCCAGTGGGACTCCTTACAGTGCGGGACCCGCCTAAAGCAGCCGGGAAATATTTTTGTTTTTTGTAGGGCAGCGGGGCCCACGGGACAGCTGCTTTGGGCCCCCAGGAGTAATTGGGCCCGGGGCAGCTGCCCCGTTTTCCCCGCATTAAAGACGACACACACACATACATACATACAGACACAGACGGCATGTACAGCAGAGTACAGAGGAAGACACAGACAGAAGGCATGTACACATTTCTGATGCATATCGTGAAGACATACCTTGCTGAGAGAGAGTGTGACGTTCTGGAACTGAGTGTGCACTTGGAACAAGATGAAGGATACATTACTTGGAATGTTCTGTAGAAGGATTTCGGTGGGAGATGTTGGATCCAGTGTCAGTTCTGTAAATGTTCCGATAGAAACTTCATGGAGACCTGTAATATGCCCCAAAAACACAGATTCCATTACTTCCTCCGTCAGAACCCAGAAAGTCAATATTAAACACTATTCGCGGTGTAGCTCTATCTACCACAGTTTATACTGGCACATACATTACTTGGCAACCTCCATGTCTGTACTCATAAATTTTATTTAATGGGATACTATAGTGACAGAAAATACAAAACTGTATTCCTGGTACTATCGCTTCCTCTGTCTCCCTCCCCCATCGACGTGAATAAAGAGTTAAAAAACATTTATTTACTTACCTTTTCCCTGCGCCGATGTCCCTTGCGGCTCCGCCTCTTCCAACAATGCTCTCCTATGGGGAAATATCAGACACCAGAGGCCCTCATGCAGAGCATGAGAACATCCAGCATCATTTACCGGACCAAAAGTCCATTAACATCCAGGACGTATCTCTGCTGGTTGTCTGTGAGATAGTCACTGGAGGCAAACTTAGTGCAGCAATGTAAACATGGCAATATTTAACATTGTAGAACTAAGTGCAATAGAGACACTGCACCCAGACCACTTGAATGAGCTGACGTAGTCTGGATGCCTATAGAGTCCCTTTAAGAGTGGCTGAAAGGGAGGGGGTTACTTTTTAAACCTTTTTGCTTCCCCTGAAGTTACAGCACAACTATGCCCCCTGGTAGAAACTGATCTGGGCATGGTTTCAGTTTAGCAATTTACTGCAGTCAGTCTGAGCAGAAAACTCCGGCAGACCTTCTTTTAAACACACAGTCTGCGTCGGTAACATTACAGTGTCAGGATGACAGCCATAGACTTCCACTGACACGATTTATGTTTGGTGAAGGTGCTGGCGTCCAAGGTGCAATGCCAACCTGAGAAGACAGGAACTAGATACAATGTCACTGATAGAATATATCCCACGGCTGGTAGGGTCTACCTAGCCTGATTCACCAATTTGTTCTTACTGCTGAGAAAACCATAGAAATAATCTCCATCACTGATTTTCTGATTAAAGGAACACTATAGTCACCTAAATTACTTTAGCTAAATAAAGCAGTTTTAGTGTATAGATGATTCCCCTGCAATTTCACTGCTCAATTCAGTGTCATTTAGGAGTTAAATCACTTTGTTTCTGTTTATGCAGCCCTAGCCACACCTCCCCTGGCTATGATTGACAGAGCCTGCATGAAAAAAAAACTGGTTTCACTTTCAAACAGATGTAATTTACCTTAAATAATTCTATCTCAATCTCTAAATTGAACTTTAATCACATACAGGAGGCTCTTGCATGGTCTAGCAAGCTATTAACATAGCAGGGGATAAGAAAATCTTAATTAAACAGAACTTGCAATAAAGAAAGCCTAAATAGGGCTCTCTTTACAGGAAGTGTTTATGGAAGGCTGTGCAAGTCACATGCAGGGAGGTGTGACTAGGGTTCATAAACAAAGGGATTTAACTCCTAAATGGCAGATGATTGAGCAGTGAGGCTGCAGGGGCATGTTCTATACACCAAAACTGCTTCATTAAGCTAAAGTTGTTCAGGTGACTATAGTGTCCCTTTAACCTCTTTAACAGAATCACACACAATAAAATAACCAACGAGCAGGGACAGGTTTAGTGAAAGCCTGCTAGCGCTGTGAATGTAATAACAAATCAGAGATACAGAGCTTGCAATCTTTTATTACATGCGTTATAAGGCTCGCTCCACCAATACAGAGCGAGAACCTACAATATCACATAATAAAGGATAAAACCAAGTATGGGAGGGACAGCTGCCGGACCCCGATTCTCTGAAATGGATTAACAGTCTAAGTATCTGATTTAATGGTCACATTTACAGAAACCAACATTTGGCAGCAAACTAAAAACACTCATTACACTGTAAGAGAATAGACGACAAAACCTAAAGTGTGAAAAATACGAAGGAAGTTAAATTGTGTTTAAGGGAAGTTGCAGACCAGAACAGGGCATTAAGTTCCTGCATCTCAGCGGGCAGCGATTGTCCTCAAATCCAGGTCTACTTTCTAAGGAATAAATTTCGCAATAGTTCATTTTCTGAAACCAAGAAAAACTTCAGCACTTTCCCCCAAACCTTACATAACCACAGCGGCATGCTATCAAGGGCTGCCCGCTCACAAAATCCCTTTCAACACTTCAACATTCAGTTTTGCTACATTTTTATATTAAAACACACTCACAATCTGTTTAAATGATAGATTTCTCAATTCTGTAAATATTTTGAATATTTATTGTGCTTATAAAAGGTTCCTAGTTTTTAAACTTTAAAAATGACAATGCTCCTCAAAATGGTAAAAAAAAAAAAACAGCACACACTTAAGGTTCGTACAGCCTCCCCCTTTTCAATCCTGGAGTGCAGGGGTCATTCTCTGCCATTACAGTGTATACACATATTGTAACGGACCGTTTTGCACACAAGAGGTCAAAAAACGTTTAGGCGATATTCCCCTTTCAGATGCACAGGCAGCTACTGCAAGCCCCAATCTCCCGAACTGCGAACCCACGAATTCTCCAACTCCCGAACAGGAAACACACGAACACTGAAAGCAGTCGAACAGGAAAAGCATACAATCAGCTTACACTCCTGACAATCAGCATACAATCCAATTCCCCCAATAACGAGACGACACTTCGTTTGAGGGTTAAGCAGAACTGACTTACTGGGGGTACCTGCCCGGCTTTTATGCAGGTCTCCCACCTGGTGGACACTCCCCTAGGGGACCAGATGGAAGACTGGGAAACATAGGGTAAAAGGACCAATCACAGACTTACACATTTCAACAATCCCACAGTGCATCACAATCCCTCCTCTCTGTCCTGGGACAAAGGTAAAACTCCATTACACACATTTTAGTAAAAAGACATAAAACTAGAAAAGTTACAATTTCTGGGGAAATTGTGTGAAGTGTTCTTGCCTCCACCAGTAGTCTACAACTGGAGTGGGCGGAGTAACTTATCATTTATATAGCACATTTAATTGCAACATTGTTGCACAGTTACATTAAACCATACATTTATAAAAACATTAGCAGGTGTTCAAAAGGCCCTGTCTATGACATCACTTGCTGCTGCAGCCTGACACAGGTCAGAGTATTTTGGCGGTTGCCATCTTCAAACGGTCGTATCTTAAAAACTATAACTCCTACAGCGAAGAGCTTTATATTGTGAGAATCACAAGACCCAGACCTACATTTTGATGCATAGTATGTCTCTGAAGTATTAAAATTGAAGGCACAGTCGCAGTTTAGAAATTGCACTTCAAATTTGAGCTTTGCAGAGTGAAGTTTCAATGAAATTCAATGGACGGCATTAGTTGCAAACAAATGATTATATTGTGAAAACTATCAGGACTATGGCTTAGCCGTTGACATGTTTAGTGGCAGCAGGGATAGCTGAACGTTTTGATATAAGATTTGTGTAGGTGGGCCTGAAAATAAGGGAGTGGTGGCAGTTTAGAAATCATGTCCTGATTTTTCAGCTTTTGCCAGCTCCCACTCTAGCTTTGCCATTCATTCCTATGGGACAAATTGCGCAAGAACGACGATATTCCGTGAACCATTCGGCGAAACGTTCCACAAAGTAATAGCAATCCGATCGGGAACAATCTGCACGTTTTGGTAAATTTTTGTTTATGTAGTGTAAAAACTGTGGGAGGAGTTAGGGTGGCAAATTTGGCTATAATAAGAATAATAATATATATGTGAGATAACAATAAGTGGTCTTGCTATGCAGAAGACATAAAATTACACACGGTTACCTTTATCACATAAAACACACATTCTACATATCCCCAGATAGCTTAGATCTGAGCGCACATTATTACCGGCGCTCAGTTCACATACATACAGGTCAATCACCATGGAGCCAAAGTCTTTCCCTAGGTCTTTTGTTACACGAATAGGCTCCATGGCATGGCTATCTGTTCATTGGTCATTCGGTTCCGCTACCGAATGAAGAGGTAAGGATGCTGGCGGCTCAGCGGTGTTCGCGCAAATAAGTGTCCGTTTTCAGTTCCATAGTTTGGGCGCTGAACACCGCTGGCCGTTCGGGAGTTAAAATGGCCGCTGCCACGTGTTCAACAACCAAACAAAGGCCACCCAGCATTCGTCAATTAAGCTGCGGTTAACTGCAGCTTCTGGGCGGTCAATTGATGGCACACTCCAGTTCCCAGGTGGTCGATCTTTAGGTACTTTGTTCGGTAGATTGAATCTACCAAACACCCCGGCAGAAAGGCACAAATACGCCTTTCTGCAGGGAAAATAAAATGTTTTAAATGCCGGGCCATAGTCTAAGGGGAGCAGGCGAGCAACCAGGCTCCACCAGTGCAAAGTGGCGAGGTTGGTTCCACCACAACACAGGATCCAAGCAGGCAACCTGTCTTCAATGCGTTATATAGACACAGCTTGGAGCCGCGCCACTCTGCATGCGGCTTGGCTCCCTCCATGCCTTATCTTTTAGAGCTTCCCCACAGTCCCTGCTCCCCTTACAGCGACTATGCCTTTTCTGATTCCTGGCTATGAGCTTGGAGATCACGTGACGCTGCTGGCAGCGCCATCTTTGAATACCCTCTACCATATAGTTTCCTATTTGGTTTGCCCCAACTCATTGCAACCTTCATTTTTAACATTCACACACATTTTACACCTTATTAATATGCCAGTATTTTAGGCACTCTATATATTTTAATTTTGTTTTAGGTTAAGGTTCAGTCATGTGACTATGACATTACATGACCATTAATTTTAAACTTAAACTTAAATACCTATTTAAGCGGCACAGGTCCCCTTCTCTAAACACTTTTGAAAAGGCCAGTTAAGTTTAGCTTTATATTATTTTTTAAAAATCAGTTTTCTACCTTTATTTTATTGTTTTTATCGATAATGTACTTTTCGTATTGGACCTGAATACCCTGGGGATACAGACCACTTACACCTTGCCGATTGAGAAAACCATATTTTGCTTTGATTTGTTTAAGGCTCCTATTTTATGGTGTGCGCCATTGTGGGTCTTATTTCTCTTTTCTACATATATGGAGACGGCCAGCACTACCGTTAAACCCCAGAGTGGGGATCATATCACTTCACATCATATTCCAGGAGACAATATAAGAGGCTTCTTAATATGTGAGTGTACTAACTATTCTACTCCTTACTTTTAGAATTTTAAAAGGGATACAAAAGGGACACTATAGTCACCTGAACAACTACAGCTTATTGTATTTGTTCTGATGAGTATAATTATTCTATTCAGGCTTTTTGCTGTAAACACTGTATTTTAAGTGAAAATGCAGTGTTTACATTACCTCCTCTGGCCACTCCTTAGATGGCTGTTAGAGATCCTTCCTGGGTCAGTGCTGCACAGTGTGACTGACACCAGTGTCTCCATGCATGCAGACACTGAACTTTCCTCATAGAGAGATTCATTGATTCAATTCATATCTATGAGAAGATGTTGACTGGCCAGGGCTGTGTTTGAATCATGCTGGCTCTGCCCCTGATCTGCCTCTTTGTCAGTCTCAGCCAATACTACTGGGAAACACTGTGATTGGATCAGGCCAGCACTTCTGATGAGGTCAGTCTATGCTGATGTCTATGTTTCTATGTCGGCAGTCACAGGCACTTTCAGAGGCAGAGGCAGCAGCTGCAGACTTGAATACAAGTAAGATTTGACTATATTTAGAGAAGCAAGAGGGGGCTAGATGGTGGTTTTAACACAACTGAGTCAGGAATACATGTTTGTGTTCCTAAAACTATAGTGCTCCTTTAACCCCTTAAGGACCAAACTTCTGGAATAAAAGGGAATCATGACATGTCATGTGTCCTTAAAGGGACACTATAGTAACCAAAACAACTTTAGCTTAATGAAGCAGTTTTGATGTATAGGACATGCCCCTGCAGCATCACTGCTAAATTCTCTGCCATTTAGGAGATAAATCAATTTGTTTATGAACCCTAGTCACACCTCCCTGCATGTGACTTGCACAGCCTTCCTAAACACTTCCTGTAAAGAGTAATCTACCGTTTATCCTTCCTTTATTGTTCTGTTTAATTTAGACTTTCGTATCCCCTGCTATGTTAATAGCTTGCTAGACCCTGCAAGAGCCTCCTGTATGTGATTAAAGTATAATTTACAGACAAAGAGATACAATTATTTTAGGTAAATTACATCTGATTCAAAATGAAACCATTTTTTTCATGCAGGCTGTGTCAGTCAGAGTCAAGGGAGGTGTGACAAGGGCTACATAAACAGAAACAAAGTGATTTAACTCCTAAATGGCAGTGAATTGAGCAGTAAAACCTGAGAGGCATGATCTATACACTAAAACTGCTTCATTGAGCTAAAGTTGTTTAGGTGACTATAGTGTTCCTTTAAGTATGAAAAACTAAACTATTTCATTTATTCATTCATCAAGAATATCCACCACTGCAAGGACTGTCTGCTGTACCAGTGCTACACTATATCGCGAGGCGGGGATCGTTCCGCCCAGGCGCTAAGTTGGAGCTGAATTGAAGTACACCTTATTTTCATTATTTCCAATCAGAACATCTTAATCTGCTACACTATCAGATCCCACATTTGTTTCCTTCATCTCTTAAGGACCACCCAGGCGCTACACCAACCCGTCTGTTATATTTGACTTTAACGGACAAGAGAGACACCGGATTTGCGTGTTAGGCTTCTTTGAACTACAACAGTATCTACAAGCGCTGATTTGTCTTATTTTTTTTACTATCATATAGATCAGGGGTAGGCAACCTTTTAGCAGCACTGTGCCGATATAGGATTGTGATGTCCCGTAGTGCGCCGGTCCTATTTTTTTAAATTGAGGTGTGTATGCTGCCATATTCTGCTTTTGTTAGTTATACTGTAATTGCTTTGTATCATTGTATTTGTACGTATATGAGCTATTATATTGTATATGTTCATTAGTAGTTTATGATTTTGTGTATTATACATATGAATGTGGGCTGTGTATGGGGCTGCTTGTGGAATTGTGTGTGTGGATGGATGTGTCACATTGTGTGTTTGGTAGTATGTGTATGTGTGGGGTTGTTTGGGGTATTGCATGTGAGAGGCTGTATGTGGTGTTGTGTGCATGTATGTGGATTTTTAGCAGGTAACGTTTGTACAGATTGTGTGTATGTTTGTGGGCTGTTCGTATTATTTGTATGGGGGGGTTATTGTGCATTTCTGGGTATATCTAACAGTGTGGGTGGCTTCTCTGGGTTCCAGTGGAGACCAGGCTGGCCAGGTACAGGTGAAGGGCAGGAGCTGCAATATCCGCTGTGGGCTGCTCTACCACGGTGTGGATTCCCATTTACAATTGCTGGGAGGAAGGGACCTGAGATCACTTACTCTATGTGCTGCAATGCATACATTGAGGATTGTCCTTTTAGTATTAGCAGATATCTGAAGTTTTACTGGGACTCCTGACAGGACAGAGCCTGTTTGGCTGTAGCAGCCTTGAGTGCCGTAGGTTGCCTACCCCTGATATATATTAAGTGTTTAAAAAAAAATGTAAAAAATTAACAAAAGAAAAACCAAAAATCTCTATTTGCAATTAGAAAAAGAGATGAAGAGAATTCAGTTTGGTCACTGTAACATTAGGGCCAGTCTAAGCTCCATAAAAGAATACAGCATCTCATTGCAGTTTCTTTGGCGCTCAGAGTTTTTGGTCGCTGTCCCCGTATTTATTATTTATTTTATCAAAGACTAATGTGACGCCCAAATCCAGGCCCCCTCTGTTGCCATTCAACAGCAATAATTAGCTACAAGTCCCAAGCTTTAAGGAACACTATAGTCCCCTAAATTACTTTAGCTAAATAAAGCAGTTTTGGTGTATAGATCATTGCCCTGCAATTTCACTGCTCAATTCACTGTCATTTAGGAGTTAAATCACTTTGTTTCTGTTTATGCAGCCCTAGCCACACCTCCCCTGGCTATGATTGACAGAGCCTGCATGAAAAAAAAAACTGGTTTCACTTTCAAACAGATGTAATTTACCTTAAATAAATGTATCTCAATCTCTAAATTGAACTTTAATCACATACAGGATGCTCTTGCAGGGTCTAGCAAGCTATTAACATAGCAGGGGATAAGAAAATCTTAATTAAACAGAACTTGCAATAAAGAAAGCCTAAATAGGGCTCTCTTTACAGGAAGTGTTTATGGAAGGCTGTGCAAGTCACATGCAGGGAGGTGTGACTAGGGTTCATAAACAAAGGGATTTAACTCCTAAATGGCAGAGGATTGAGCAGTGAGGCTGCAGGGGCATGATCTATACACCAAAACTGCTTCAATTGCTGGGAGGCGTCCATATTTGCAGTACTTGGTGGGACGGCCATTTTATCGGTTAGGCCGCAACTCTCCAGCTTGCTCTTGAATACTAGATTATTGTTAGATGATTGTGCCAAGATTTCCAGTGGGGACTGGGATAACCCCCATCGGTCCAAGACAAGCAAGCACCAGGTCAAGGCCGAGGATCACCCGCCTCCCCGTCCCTGACTGTTTTTTTTCAGGCTGCAGATAAGATTGTCACAGGCTGCATCCACTTGCTGCGGCAAGAGAGTGCCAATAGATTAAGTGGGTATCCCTCAGGGTTGGGAGCAATTCTCACCAAAAAGACTACAATAAAGTCAATTTGGGGCCAAGTAAAAGATTTCCCCCGAGGAGCGCAAGCACCATGCGACTGTCTCAGTTGGCTGCCAGGCCCTGCCCCCATATTTCATAATTTTAAACAGGATTTTGGTCCATGCTGGGCTCTGGGAATGCCCTGTTTTTTGACAAACCACTTAAAAGCAATTTGAGGGAAAATAGAGAATGCACTATAACCACTGCAATAACTAACAGCGGCTTACACCATAGTGTCCTAATAACATCTGCAATTCTCTTGTCATAGCTTCACAATTCCCCATTTAGTGAATATGTAATCACTGGGTAATTCTCCCAAATTCCGAATTAACTCATTAGCTGGGATCCAACGGAGTGCGACTCACATGGAAGGCTTATGACTGACTTCCTGGGGGAATCTTGTGATCGTTGGACACAAAGCTTCCCCTTAATAAAAAGGTTTAACAGACTAAGCGCCATCCTTTTTATTAAGACTGAAATAAACCAGTTATTGGAAATTGAATACCTCGAGCTGTAAAATAACCATAAGTACTGTGACACTCTGACACCCTTAAGGTTAGCAAAGCATTATGGGAACAGCTGTTTTATAATATCTAAGAATTTATCTCTTGGTCAACTCTGAACAAACAAAATAATATAACTTGTTTTCCCAGTGCCGAGAGACCACAGTATTTCATTAAAAAAAAAAGACGCCAACTCCCAAATTAAAACCAATCCAAGCTATACAATTATCACTAACCTACAATATGAGCCAACAGTTAGTCACACCAGTCATTCATCAACAGCCAAAACGAATGTTATTCTTAGGAATCGCAAATATATACGTAAATAATAATAATACAATAATTTGTGTAAAGGGTAAAACGTACAGGATTTACACTGATTTAGGGGCGTATTAGGTGATGAATTAAAAACCAAACTACTAAATGTAAGGTTTAATTGGTCCTAGTTTTTCCAATTTTGCTTTTAATTCACCACTTTGCAAATAAACCCACTCTACTGTGACAGTGTCTCTCCCGCAGAGCTCACAATCTAAAACGATAAGAAATCACTAATATTTCTATAAATCTAAACAAATGACACATTGTACAAGCCTGACAGATATTATTGAAATACCCCATTATTATCCCTCTACACTGTGGATGTTATTATTCACTCTATAAATTACTATTTACCCATCATATTACCAGTTATATACCCGCTCTCTGCTCATTGCTGATTACCCCCCACTCCACCCACAGGCTCCCAGTGCCCGGCATGTACCCCCCACAGGCTCCCAGTGCCCGGCATGTACCCCCCACAGGCTCCCAGTGCCAGGCATGTACCCCCCACAGGCTCCCAGTGCCAGGCATGTACCCCCCACAGGCTCCCAGTGCCAGGCATGTACTCCCCCACAGGCAGCACCCAGTGCCGTGGCATGTGGGCCTCCACAGGCACCCATAGTGCTGCATAAAAATTTCCCCCACAGGCACCCAGTGCCAGCATGTACCCCCACAGGCACCCAGTGCCAGGCATGTACTCCCCCACAGGCACCCAGTGCCACGTGGGTATGTACTTCCCCATACAGGCACCCAGTGCTGCATGTACCTCCACAGGCACCCAGTGCCAGGCATGTACTTCCACAGGCACCCATAGTGCTGTGGCATGTACTCCTTACAGGCACCCAGTGCCAGGCATGTACCTCCCACAGGCACCCAGTGCCAGGCATAAAAATTTCCCCCACACAGGCACCCAGTGCCAGGCATTAATGTACCCCCCACAGGCACCCAGTGCTGCGGAATGTAAAATTTCCCCACAGGTAAGGCACCCCAGTGCTACAGGAATGTACCCCTCTCCCACAGGCACCCAGCAGGAATGGCCCCCACAGGTACCCCAGTGCTGTGGGTGCATGTACTCCCCCCCACACAGGCACCCAGTGCTGTGGAATGTGCCCCCATATGGGTACCCAGTGCCAGGAATGGGCCTCCTACAAAACAGTGCTAGTATGTAATTCCCCCCATTGCAAGGCACCCAGTGCCAGGTATAAATTTCCCACAGGCACCCAGTGCCAGGTATGTGCCTCCACAGGCACCCAGTGCTGCATGTACCTCTCTGCCAGGCACCCAGTGCCAGAATGTACTCTTACAGAAGGCTCCCGTGCTAAAATGTACCCCCCATAGAAGCCCCAGTGCCTCCGCATGTACTCCCCCATGGGCACCCAGTGCCAGGCATGTACCCCCCACAGGCACCGCAGTGCTGGTGGAATGTACAGGCTCCCAGTGCTGTGAATGTACTTCCCACAGGCTCCCTGTAGTGCCCGGCATGTGCCCCCACAGGCACCTGTGCCAGGCATGTACCCCCACAGGCACCCAGTGCCAGGCATGTACCCCCCCCGGTACCCGGTATTTACCCGCTCCAGGTTGGGCTGTGGCCCCCCACACCAGGCAGCCCAGGAGCAGCAGGGCAGCGCGGGCCCCCGGGGGCCACATTGCAGGATCCGAGCTGAACCGACACTGAAATCCCGACTGAGACACAGGAACACCCTGAGCGGGTCACACAACCACAACCGCCCACTTCCTGTACACAACACGTGATCACAACACAACACAACACTGAGACACACAGCAACACAACACTGAGACAGCAACACAACACTGAGACACAACAACACAACACTGAGACACAACAACACAACACTGAGACACAACAACAGAGAGACACAGAGACACACAGCAACACAACACTGAGACACAACAACACAACACTGAGACACAACAACACAACACTGAGACACAACAACAGAGAGACACTGAGACACACAGCAACACAACACTGAGACACAACACTGAGACACAGCAACACAACACTGAGACACAACACTGAGACACAGCAACACAACACTGAGACACAACACTGAGACACAACAACACTGAGACACAACAACACAACACTGAGACACAACACTAAGACACAACAACACAACACTGAGACACAACACTGAGACACAACAACACTGAGACACAACAACACAACACTGAGACACA